TCACCCTGTGGCACTGGGAGAGCACAAAGCGCACGCGCCAGCACCCTTGTGAAAGGAGATGGTGCAAACTGGGGCCCCAACATACTCCCGGGCAGCTGACCGGGCCTACGCAAAAATAAACTGATGTCGGCATGTCTAGATTCTACGTGCGTCCTAGCATGTCTTAGCCATGAATGCAGCTGGTCCAGCTTCTTGGATGTCCAGGTTCACTGGATGAGCCGAAGTCCACAGCTTCAGCTTTGTCTGGGGCGCACTCGGCTCCGCCCAGAGATTCAAATGCGACGGAGTCAAACGCTTTCGACGCTGTCCACGGCGCGTCTACATGTTGTTCTGGATGCCACAAGGGATCGAGAAAACGGCCCAAGCATCACTGGAGTCTTCACTAGGCATGAAGGCAGGCAGGTTTACGTGTGCAGCGATGCCGCGCATGTAAAAGGACACAACAAATTACTGTAGCGATCCGTTTTCACGCGTTCTTTGCACTTTCTTCTGCATTGAAAAATGTGAACAGTATTGAAGAAAGCGAAGACAGCAGGCAGCAACGGAGTCGGCGCAGACTGTTAATTTGCTCCAACGGTGCGCCTCCGTGCCGACCTCACCATGCAATCTTCTGCAGCCCTGCGAGATGCAGCCGGCCAAAGGTTGATTCATATTTCACATCAACATGTCCAGTGCATTCTTGTAGCAAACCTATCCATCAACTGCTCCAACGATTTTTGCATTGCAGTCAAGATCCCCCATGTTGCGCCCAATGACGAAGCGCATATTGATGCATATTGCATTCCAAAATGGGAAGTTAAGCTGCGCAAGGCAAGCATGTCGTTGAAAGAATGCTGTCTTAGCTAGCTCCTGCATTTCTGGGAGCACACCCATCATGTTCTCATAATAGACTTATATAACTATATAATTCAAAGCAACTCTTAACAAAGCCAGCCAAAGCCTCAAGTGTAAGCTTCTTGTCGACAAGGACCTTGCCCTCCAAGTTCAAAGTGCCATTTTGGCAGCTGTCTTCGTTGAGAACCTCAGTCATCTCCAGTTTTCCAAGCGCTGGGACTTGATGTCTAGGATTTTTGCCCAAAGCGTTTCGCAAAGGGATTCCATACCAGCCAAAAGAATTGCCCACAGAATGTACTACTAAGAAAACGTTCAGCCAGGACTCCAGGACCTTGCATACCTTGCATCTAGACCTCTGTTGGCAGTGGGTGGCATTGTCTCCCTTCACAACGCCCAGGTACCTAGCCCTGGCACAAATTTGACACATGTTTCCTCACGATCGTGTTTCCATCATGCTTCTATTTCACATGGATACTTTTGACGCGATTTCTTTGTCGTGTTTGTAGTGGTTCAAGCGATGGACGCACCAAGCAGCAAAGCCTACACACTAGTGCAGCGACAATCTGACAAACAAACCATTCTTGAAACAACATTCTGCAGTTCAAGTTATCTGAAAGACCCTTGAGCCCTCTTGAAACAACATGGAAGAAACATCGAACAACACCGCTGTCCTGCTTGTCCTTCTTCGTCCTATTCCATCCTCTTCCAAGGGGCGGTCACCGACCGTCTTGGTGCTTCGACCACCGCATCCTGATCAGCGCCCAGAATCTGGCCAAGTTACAAAAGGTAGGCTCTGATCCCTCCGGGATTTCATCAGTCTTAGTGAACGAGGTTGACTTTCTGACGCATGTGATCAAGGGTAAGGTGACAAGTCTGACAAGCACGCCTCCAAAACCTAAATCTCATGACCTCTCATGTTACAGAAGGTGCTGGATTGTTTCACCATGCCAATCTTCCCAACCACAGGGACCCCTCCCAGAAAGCACTCCAAGGCAACCTCGAGGAATGCGATCGCGGAATGGGCGTCGATGGCCTCACAAACATCGCAGCCCCGATCGCGGCGGAGCGTCCGTGGGCTGCGAGGACTGAGTCGATTCCTTGCGGTCCAACGGTCGTGGGAGCTGAACTTAAAACAAAAAAACTTGAAATGTATACACACCGTCATCTGAACCGAAACAACTTGGCATACCTTGGCCTCTTGAAAAAATTGTGGGCATGGTGAGGTCATGCCAGGTTCGCAGGATGAGAACTGCCGCCAGTCCACAGGGAGAGAACGCCTGGAGATAATTACTTTACTTCAGCTGGTTTGCTGGGAGCTTGCACTGTCTGTCATAGTCACAGCGCCCAGGTTAGCAAAGTGCAAGTTGGGCACTCGATATTTAAGGCACCTCCTCATATGGAGCGTTTCCGAGAGCCAGTCAGACCTCTCAATACTGCAAATTGCGAACCAACCTGATTTATCCGATCGGATGCCAACACAAAACGATCACCAAGGACAACCATGGTGCGACATGTTTTTTTGGACAGTGGGGGTTGCTGATCTTCGCGCCATGAATAGGTGAGGTTAGACAGCTTCCAGTTATTTCTCATCTGCTCTGCCTTTCTCAGAACCGACACCAAATTGCATCGATAGTAGTCTGATGCCTGTGATGCTCAAGGAGCGTGAACGCACTTCTTGCATATCTTGGGATATCTCAGCATTTGGGGTGCAATGACAGGAGGGACACAGTCCCCTTTGAGAAGGATAGGAAAACAACAACGACACAACCGAATGCAGCCCATACCTTGGACCTACAGTTCTTTTACCAGGTAATAGCTTGCATTCACCCTGGCGAGAGCGTATTGTATGAATTGCAACTCTGACCAGTTTGGGTGCGCGTAGCCACCTCTGCACCACAGAAACAGCACAAGCTGCCACGTTGAAGTCCTCCTCCATACCGTATCCCTTGCCTAACGTCCCCACCACCCACGACCCACGGCGTTGCGGCTTCATGTGCCGCTCGACCCATCTGCCTCCGTCGCCCGCGAGTCGCCCACCTGCGGCTGCCCACTTCGGGCGGCCGGTCGTGGGGGGAAGGGCACCAGAGGAGAACGTCTTCTTTCGGGAGGCACCGGCTGAGTCGTTTGGAAGTTTGGGTGGAAAAATCGGAGATGGATGGAGGGGGTGTTTCCCCAAAGAGACTCTGCTGCTTAAGAGAAGTGCATGGCAACTGCATGGTATGTATTGGTCGGTACGGTAGAGGAGAATGCGAAGTCCGTCAGTCACTATAATCGGTCGACGAAGTCGCTTGCTAGTTCTGTGCAAAACACGTGTGGGGATGCGACGGGGCCAAACAGCGTGGCTGTGGAAAGAGTGTTTGATAGCAACATCTGCCGCCATATCCAACCCAAAATATCGAAACATCCTTGTCATGATTCAGGCTGATACGCAAGCAAACACCATATTCAAACACCCAAACCAAGTATAGTTCTTCAAGAGGAAAGCTGGGCAACTGATGAGCACCATCCGCACAGCCGGAATCGGCTTCCGAACGAACAACAACCTAGCACAGCCAGTGGCTGCCAAAGACCGTCAATCGCCCAATTGAAGGATGTCAGGCATACAAGATCCAGAAGCTGCCAAGATCCGGGCATTGTTTCTTTTTACTCATGGCCCATGGCAGTACAAGTTGGCCCCGTGGCAGTACAAGTTGTTCCCTTCACGCAAAAGATTCATTGTTTGGCATAGAATCCAACCCCCCAAATGGCTTGCCAATGGCTTGCAGCATCTTGCAGCTAAACCAATGCCTGTTACGAACCCTGAAACCTGTTGCCACTCCAAACCTGCCTCCAATGTGGACTTGGCCAGAAGCTCGTCTCGCATGGAGTCGCAGGGGTGTGCCAGCAGAGTAAAAATTGCGTAGGTGAGCATTGCGCCGGCAGCAAGCATGGAAAGTGTTTCTCAAATGAAAGCCGGGAGAGAGTTTCCCAAACCTCCTGAAGCTTTGAGCCAAAGAGACTCTGCAACCAATCAAACCTTGAGAAACAAACTTGCTGAAATACCCAGTACACCATGGTATTTTCACCAGCTAACCATGAACCAGCTAACATGTCGACCACAAACTGTGTACAACTCATGTTGTGTGCACACCATGAGACCAAGCCAAGCAACCAGCTCACCAGCCAGGCTGGTACACCTTCTCTAGCGAACCTTCGACCCGGCGCCTACCCGACTCGACAGCATCCTCCAACGACAGCGTCCTCGGTCGAAGCAGTGAAGGCTTTCATTTGCTGCAACTGGCAGGTCTAACAGATTCTAAAGGCTTAGTGGGCCAGTGGGCACGCTCCTAGTATAGTTGGAGGGGCTAGTGGATCGTGTAGGGAATCCAACGATCCCGAACCAATTTCTTAAGCCTCAAACACATCATTCATATCATGTGCCATTAATTCGAGGGGACTCTCAAACCTAAACAACAACATCAAACCTCTCCTTTTTCTGATGGCGCTGCCGCACCATTTCGTTCCCTCACCTGTGCGGGCCATCCCTTCACCCCGGAAAATGCGGGCCGCTGCATCGATGTGCGGGCCGCTCCGTCTTTTGTCCTCAAAACCGGTCCACCTCGGGGAGACCCGAGGGGCGGGGGTCAATCAAAAGCGGCCGGGGTCTGGCCGACCGGCCGGGTCTGGCATCGGCAGCCCGGTGGATGGAAAGGCCAAAACGGATGAGGAGGGGAGAGGTGTCCGCCTCAAGTTGGACTCAAACACATGGCACAAAGGATAGCCAAGGGGGTTTATGTGTGTTTATGTTAGTTTAGTCATGATGCCAACGCATTTGTCGGGCACATTGGTCTGAGTCTACTTGTGTCTATGAGCGTGTGTGTCGATGGCCACGGGTCCTCAAGACGGCCCTTTTTTTCAGAAGAGACCAGGAAATCCTCTACAAACTCTGACGTCGGTGCGACGAGTCAGTCGAGAAGAAGCGAAGTGTCGCCCCCTTATCAGCTGGATCCAGGCACCCGAACTGCCACCCGGGTCCTGACTCGTCGCACCGACGTCAGAACTTCTGCAGGCGAATCCGAAGAAGGTTGGGACTTCTGAAGCCACCAGGTGAGTGGGACATGGTGCAACATCGTGGTGGGTGAGCGAGCTGCGCGTTCTGTGACCCTGCGCTTTTCGGTGACCTCCATGTAGGACACCCATCTTGGGGTAGGAGAATCCAAGCGTTGAGACGCCTCCCACTCCATTGAAACGGGTGAAACTCATGCTCCGGTGGCATGAAAAAGATCGCCTCAGACGGAACGGCCGGAGGATTCAGCACATCATCAAATACTTTTTTACACATCTGAGAGATGTTTGCTGAGAGCATGTGTTGTTTGATGATGTTCGATGTGTTGTTTGAGCATGTGTTGTTTGATGTGTTTACACTAGGGTCTGATCTGGGAGATGTCATTCGCATCTCGATAGCTTTGGAGTTTTGATTGAAGCGCTCTGCTGCCTTTTTTTTGCATGTTTTCAACGCACATGGCACAAACCCAAAGTTGTCTCTTACGTGGGGGTCCTTATAAACCACTTGTGCCATCTACTGCAAAAGCACTGTAAAATGGTCGAATTGATAAGAATTGCATAGGAGCCACGGTCCACAATGTTGGGGGAGATTTGATCGACAAGGGCATTGTCCTGGCCATAACTTCCTAGACTGCAAACTAACGACCCCAAGCAACTTCATTTCGCAGGCTCGCATGAAATCATAGAAGACAATGGGTTTCGTGATCGAAAGCTAATCTGCCAGCAAGCCCAAGCGTTGAACACGATTCGGATCGCGCTTGGTCGTAGGCCACCAGGAGCTTCCCAAAGAAGTCCAACAACAGTGGGTCGTGGAGCGGACGGACTGGTGTGCACCCACAGTGGGTCGTGCAGCAAACATGATGTAATTAAAAATGGCATCCGCATCTATGCAATGCATAGCAATCATAGATGGTTGCATACAACAACTTCCCACATCAACCAATTGGCACATGAGGAGGAGATTGCATAGGCATAAACCTCAAACCTCCTCAAACTCTGTGGGACCTCCGCAAGGGGCACCTCCGTCACGCAAACGTTCTCGTGAAGAGTTCTTTTGTGCGTGCCAAAGCCTTCCAGCTTCACATGCTTCCCATTGACGAAGTCACATGTCACATGTCAGACACGACAAGTCCCACTGTCTTCGCTCGACGCATGTTGGGGCAGCTTAGCCATATGAGAAGAAGGCGCCCCTCTGGTTCTCCTCCCGTCCACTTGGAGGTGTTTGGACCCCACAGCGCCGCGCCCACCAGGGGCCACCAGGGGCCACCACGTCCTCCGTCCCGGCGCCGTCCCAACCGCCGAGGGGCTCAGCCGGCGGCGGAGTGGCCCGAGAGGCTGTCGTTGTCGTCGGAGTTCCGGCTCCTGGGGCCGGGTGGCGGTGGCTGAAGCGCATCAACGGCTGAGTGTTCCGCATGGGACGCTGAGTGTTCGGGGTTTTCGCGTGGCGCGTGGAACCAACGGCCCGACCCCGGTGGACAAAACCGACTACAAAAGACCCCGGTGAAACAGGCAATATCCAAAGACATGGTCCCACAGCTGTACCATTTCTGGGGGGGATATATGTTTGAAGCCATTATACATGGGAGGAAAGGAGGTTCGTGCCTTTGAAGAGGTTGATGGTGTGCGGAGCCATCTTAAGCAAGCCCAAACGTTGAAAACAATTCCGGACGCATGTGGGTGTCCTTGGCCGTAGGCCACCAGGAGTTTCAAACAAAATTGGTCAAACAACATCGGGGGTCGTGCAGTGGACGGACTGGTGTGCAAATTGCACATTTACATGGAGGAAACATGAGGAAAGGAGGTCGTGCTTGGAAAAGGTTGGTGGTGTGCTTGTGGATCATCTTAAGCAATTCCAAGGCTCTTGTTGAAGCTCTGGCCGAAGCTCATGGAGCTCAAACCAGTGAAACCGCTTCCTGCACGGGCTGCGAATTGTATGACTTGCAGCTCACCAGTGGATGAAGCTCCTCTAATCATTCCCTATCAAAACACCTGAGAACTACTGAGAACTGATAAGCAGTCCATGCCTATAGGACCTTAGAAGTCGATGGGAAGAAGGTCCAAAGGGGAATTGAGCCCAGAAAAATCGTCTTGCTGGTGTGTTCTCTGACTCATTTGAGTCAGAATGGCCAAGCACCAACTGGTGCGACTCCATACTCCGTGGAGATCGTGAAGGTCAGCTACGATCAGCTACGTAGATGTGCAGACTTGGGGAGCAGCCCTGAGGATCTTCTTCATCTTCTTCTACGCCGTGCTTTCGCGCGTCGAACCCGAGTCTTGACAATGGTCTTTCATGGTCTTTCCAGGGTGGCTGGGGACCGATCCCCTTCCGGAGGTGTTGATCCTGCCTGTCTCCACTTTGAGATGTATCTATGTTGGCTGTACTCCACTTCGCCAGGAACCAACACATACTTTCAAAGGCTGACTTGTTTTCTTCCTTGCACGCATTCCATGCGCGGGGTAGGTCCAACCTTCGTGAAAAAGCAAACATACCAAAGGAAGACCATCAATCTCGACATCTCTACAAAACAGTCTAAACATGTCTTCGTCTTAAGAAATCCATCACGTGGCGGTAATTACCGCCCCAGGAGCTCTCACCCACTCACATGGCCAACTCATCCGGCTCGCCTCCAAAAAAGAACGTAGAAAGACTATTCTTTTGATAGTTCTTTCTACTTCTAGCTCCTCATGATCTACTATAGATTCTACTAGACCCCATAAATGATCTACTTCTACTTTCTATAGTTCGTTCTTTCTAGTTCCTTCTGTGCTCCGCCCCCGAGTCGCCGCCGCCCAACTTCGCGTGTCGTTGCCGAGGAGCCGAGCTTGCTGGTCTTCAAGGTCTTCTTGGCCACCTGGCTGAGGGCTTGGGAAGGCTTGGAAGGTCCGACCTGGTCTTTCGGACACACATCTCAGCTCGAAGAGATTTCTTTTACCCGGTGGTGATCCGTTCCGATCGGTGCTCTGGTTTGAACACGTATATATTCATTGGAACGGAGCTGTTATTATTGACTGTTCTTCTGACTGAGTTGTGAAGGACAACTTCTTGTGGAGATTTGGGTCCATCAAGCATGGTTTTGTTCCATCCGCGGATGGACTCTGAGAGTGAACTTAGAGTCCCGGGCGGTTGCAAACAGAAAAAGGAGAAACTTTAACGAGGTGAAGGATACACTTTCAAATAAAACAGGAGGATACACTTTAACATGCTTTAACTTGGTGAAGGACAGTTTTCGCGAATCATTGCAACGTTCAAAGGACATCTTTTCCACTCGACATCCACAGGTGTCCGGTCGTCCAAGGAACCTCTGAGCTTCACCCCCGACCCGACCCAGGGTCAGACTAGGCATCCGTATAGGCACCTGTCCGTGCTGCATACCCATCTGGTTGAGTTCGGAAGAAGGTTCGCCGCAGTTCGCATAAGTCACATCCTGTCATCTTGCGTTCAATTCTTCATGGAGGATGCTCTGTTCAGGAGCTCCTTCCACGCGGATTTGCTGATAGGACCTCCGCCCAAAAAACATCAACTGTATTAAATGACATCCAAATACATGTAAATACTGTCGACTCGACCCTGTGGAGATCATCTCACTGAGTCGAGTTCGTTCTTCGCGCCTTGGCCAAGGCCCGCTGGAACTTCTTCATCATACGCTCGAGCTTCTCATCTTCCGTCTCGTGGCTACCTGGGCCAAGCTGCGATCAATCAGGTCTCCGGTTCGGTCTCGATGCCTGATTGATCTTGACAATTGTCGCACATGCCAAGGTCACAAATCTCCATCTCAAAGCATGAGGATAGTATTTCGTAGAAGAAAACGAGCATGATCGAACATGATCGAACATGAAACGAAAAAAAGTAAACACCCTTGCACGCCGCAGCAAAATACACATGCCAAGCGGCTGTAGGTCTCTGGCCAGGGTTCGTCAGGACTCGTTGTGCCTCCATACCTGATACGAAGCTTAGCTGTTAGGCGCGAGAGGGGAACGTGTGCGCGGAAGGATGCAGGTGGATTGCAAATAAGGCCCTGCAGGTTTGTGATTGTCATCCAAATGTATGCAACCAATCTCTGCGAGCAACATGAAAGCAATCAATACAAATAAATCACCATCAAATGTCTCTCCTCTACAAACTGCTGGTTTGAAGCTTCTGCGTCTATCTAACATATCTATACAGGTATATCTTCCAAAGTGTGCAGCCACACACACAAGGTTACTACCCTGGAAATTCCAGAACATCCATAAGAGCAGGGATTTCATAGAATGCAGGAATGGCCCTCTGCAACCAGTGTTGCAGAAGGCCCGGTTTGGCCTGTAGAGTGGGAAGGAGCAACAATGGCCCCGCAAATCCCCGCAATCTAGAAAAACAGAACTTGAACAACAGCTGAAACACCTGAACAGCTTAAATAATTCATAAGAATTCCAGCTATGAACAACATGCCGAAGGTGTCATTGTGAAGACCTTGAGTTCAACCCCAGAAACCCTGTGACCTAGCCCTGCATGCAAAATGCATACTTTGTATAAATCAGAACATGGGAGAGAACCGATGAAAACTCACACACCTCTGCTGACCAACTCCTTCCCCACCCACACAAACCCACACAACACCACTTCCAACGTCTCAGGAGGTGTTCCTTCGCTTCTCCGCGCCGTCGAACCGACCGCGCGCCTCATGATGGTCTCGCGGTGCAAGGGATGCAGCTTCGCGGGCTCCTCGATCTGCACGCCGCCGGGCAAGCCGATGTCGCCCTCGCCGAACTCCAGCGGCTCGTCCATGGCCAGGCCTGGAGGATGGAGAGAGGACGGAGAGAGAGACGGGCTGGGAGAGAGAAGTTGAGGTAGATACCGGGTAGAAGTGAACTGGAGGAATAGGTTTATATATTTACTTGCTTAGGTTCGAAAAGGGCCACATGTCATCCAATGTGAGAATGTCACCTATGGCAATGGAGATGACGATTCAGCCGAGGTAGTCCACTCTCCCCAACCAAACCACCTCCTCTGAAAGTAGGGATTTTTCCAACCTCCTCACCCAGGTGGTGCCTCTTTTCGGGGGGCGGGGAGCACCCGGCACCCCTACTTAAAAACGATGTCCAAGCCATGCATGAATCAATAACCAAAACTCCCTGTGCCAAGCAGTTGCCCCGCAGCCTCCAACGGTGTCACGCATACAACCGCATGCGGCCGATTTGTTCTGCACTGTCATCAGTTCATCACTGCGCAGTGTCCAAAGAAAAGAAGGACGCCTACTTTACCCACAATCAAAGCAGCAAGAAGCACCACAAAGCACCCTAGACCTATACCTTTCTCCCCCTTGCCACCAGTCCTCTTTACCCTCCCCAACTCCGCCCGCAACCAACGTCGCGCGAGGAGGTCGGGTTGAAGCCCAGCCCTTGCCTTGCACGAACTTCTTCCAAGTCTTTCTCCTGCGAGGCGCTTTCGCTCGCTCGCCCCGTACACCACGAGCTGTGCAGCTGCACACGAGCGGTGCTGCAGCTTTTTTGGAGGAAGGAGGCAGGAGGCTGAAGCAAGAATTTCTCGCGGTGAAATGTGAAGGGTGAAGAACAAATGAACTTAAATGATAACAAACATATAACAAACGAACAGATCCAAAACATGGAACAACTCAAACGCTTTCGACACAAGCACATCACGAGTCCCGAACATGGACCCATGAAAGAACATGTTCCTCTCCAACTGGCTTTCAGGTCGCGTCCGGATGGCGCGCCGCGTGCACATGGCGGAGGACACGGACTGTCCGTCGGACGGCCTCAGGGTTTGCATGTAATCGACTTCAATCTGCATCCGTCTCAAGCTGGCATAGCCCACCATGCTGCTGTAGATCTCTTCATGGACGCCTTTGATTCTTGCGTCGCGGAAGAAATGGATTCTTGCGATGGTGATGTTCACAAAGATGATACTAGGTCGATAATTCTCCTGCTACTGTCTGACCCTCTTTAGCCTAAAAGTACTCCCAATGGAGCTTCAGGGTGTCGGTGAGTATCAATATCAATCTAGGCTGCTTGGGTAAAGGGCCACATGTTTGATGACTGGATTCTGGATCAACATTGAACTTCTTCTGATCATAGGAAGTCAGCATGGCCATTGGTGCTTGGGTTACAATACCAGACCCGCAACGCGGCGAACGGTGAAACGGTCCCTGACTGGGCGCAGGTGAGCTGGGCCACGAAGATGCTGAAGGTGCCTAGGATGAGCACCTTTGATGCATTGCATGGGCCAGTGCGGACTGGCCAATGCATGCAAAAAAAAACAACATGATCCCCTTCCAACCCCAATCCCATTTGAGGGTTTTAAACAAACATGACCCCCTTCCAATCCATTTTTTGGAGGGCCTTATAAACTGGGCCTTAAGGCCACCCATTTCATAGTGGAACAGGGAATGGGGATCTTTCTGCTTTGCTTCAACCCAGACGGGTCGGTGTCGAGATCCGCTTGGTGGAATCGTGCCCACTGGTAGCAACTGAATTGGGGCCAGGCCATCCGGGGAAAGCGGCTTCGAGTCTGTTCCATGACCATGGCTTAGAATACCTATTACTATTCGGACATCTGGACTGAAAACAGGACATGGTCTTGCAACATGGGGGCCATTGGAGACTACATGAGGTTCTTCTTTTTGCTTTGGTCTGGTTAGGTCATTGAAGCGGCCCCCTGCCAACTCAGTGGCTCAAAGGATATTCAGAGATTCATTTCTTCGAGGTGCTTGCTTCCTGGTCACCTCACCTGTTTCCGAACCCCAAAGGACCTCTTCCAACCACCTGGAAGCCCGTTCCCGTCCCCGTCCCGCGTCCCGCGTCCCGCGTCCCGCGTTCGATCGCTTACGTTCGGTCCGAGGAGCTACGAGGAAGGCACCAAGGCCCAGAGACAGGACCGGAGACTGCATGATGTCTTGCAGCTCGTCGTGACCTGCGCATCGCTCGCTTGCCGACAGAGAGCCCACCCACCCAATGGACTTCACCGGAGAGAGTGAGAAGAAAGTCAGGTGAGAGGAGAAGAAAGCCATATGCCTACTGGCAGGCCAGATGGCATTCATGTTTTTGGGCTCCAGAAGTGTGGCCGATTGGTTCAAGAGAAGTCCTCGCTTCCTTAATGCATGCCAATCAAAGGGCCTCAAGAATCTTCAGAACAAACATCTTTGGTGCTTGCTCGACAAATCATATCTAAATCATATATGATAAGCGTTGAATGAGGAGGAAAAGGATGCACCGGAATCGCAGGTATGAGAGAACACTTGGTGAACACGTCATAGACCCTGAACACGAATTCTCCTGGTTCGTTGGAAGGGCGGAAAACACCATGTGCACAATAACCCTACAACTTCCTTCAGTGTGAGACCAAGAAATTACAATTCAAAACTGGTCATGTGGAGAAGCCACTTCCTGAAAGTTTGCTTTTTCATATCTTTTGCAGTCTTGTTTCCTTTTTAAAGCTTTCCTGGGTAGGTGAACCAACAAACACCGCCCACACCGCGTGCCGCCGCTCGGTGACCGGGTTGCCGTTGATGCGAATGGCGAACTGGAAGAGCCGAAGCACCACCATCGGGAAGTCCCTCAGGCGTCACTGGATGGGTTGTGTCCGCGCGAGAGAGAGAGAGAGAGAGTTCGAAGGGAATGAAGAGTCTTTTCTTTTTTTTGGAGTCCACGCGTTTTGTGTATGGAAACGAGATCGGGAGACTCTACATCTATAGAGATCATGTCATAGTAGTCGAGTCGGTCAACACCAGCTCTTTGGCAGTCTGCCCTTGGATTGCAGTCAACTCCCATCCATTTGGGGCACTGATCCTTTCGCTTCTTCGCTGGGTCACCCCCTGGGTCACGTCCCGGTGAACCGCTTCGCTCGCGCCCACTTCGTCCGCCCCGCCCTCTTCGTCCGCCCACGGTCCCGCGGCATCCGTCGCTTCGGAGGAAGGAGCTGGAAGGATTGCACGTCGTTCTCGCTCACGGCGATGCAGGTGGCGAACATGAGGATGAAGAAAGCCAGGCTCGCGAGCATCAACAGCACTTCCTCCGCGCGACTGCTCGATGCACGCGCGGTTTGGTTTCTCGGCGCAGTTTCTTTCGGCGCGGGTTCTCGGAAGATGCGGGTGTGGCGGACTTCTGTTAGTTCTGGTCCTTCTGGAGCTTCACTTGTCTTCACTTTGTATGTAGAGGGGCGTGAACTCCTGGTCATGTTTCAGGTTAATTATTTTAGTTATGTAACGTATAATTTTGTTAGTGTTCGAGTGTTCGAAACATGTTGGCATGAAACACGGCAGGTCAATCTAGCATGAAGTCAAAGTCTTGCACCACCTGCACTCCTCTCAACCTCAGTCGATGATCTGCCACATGTTTTTTTTGGGGGGCTGCAAGGGGAGTGTGGCAGCCCAATCACATCCCATAATCATCCAATGAATCATCCATTCTTATTCCAGGGCCACGGCACACTCCTGGTTCTGGCCGGGTGTTCGTTGACCCGACCCTTCTGGTGCCAAAATCCCCATCAGCAGCTACCCAAAGGCCCATTCTGGTAGAAGTAAACATGCCTTGGATGGCCTTGGTGTCCATTTTGCAGGGCTTTTTGGTCCAGGAGCTTCTGTGAGTCTCCTCGATTCAGTGTTGCCCGACGTCCCAACACTGAAACCCATGGCCCGTCGAAGTGGCTCGACATGCTGTGCCGTCCACAATTTTGTGCACACCCCCAAATCTGTTGACCTTTGAAAGTTCCCGATTTGCTCGTTACGGATTCCTTCTGACCAGCGGACTTTTGGGGATTTCTTCACATGCAAGGGACCTTTTTGAGATGTGCTCCGCGGTATAACAGCGACTACTGCAGCCAGACTAGCGCCAGGGGACAGGGCTGAACCCGAAATGCGAGCCCGCTCTTTCGCGCACTGAGCATCGTCAAACTGTTGTTTTTTTGAAGTGTTCATTGGTCCTCGTCACTTCATCCATGTGGAATTGGACGGTTCCTTTTGCCAATTTTGGGGGCAACAAGCTAGCAAACAAATGGTGGCGCAACTTCCACAGAAAGCAGCCCTCCTTTAACGCTCCAGTCTTGGCTCCGGTAACGTGTTGATGACCACCAGCACATAAGCGCTGAACTTCGCAGAAAGGGTGGCCAAATCCAGGAGCAACGCCATATACAATCCGATAATGAACCTGAAAGGCGCCCCAGCATCTTCCACAACTCGTGCCGAAACATGTTCCAGAACTTCAACACTTGTAACTTGTACCGTATGTACGCAACAACATCCCCACCACTGCGTTCGTCGTGTCATGTGTCATGTCATGTCCAACCCCATCTAAAATCCTTTAAGTGGTAAATCCAGGTCTTGCGACAATTGGTGATGTCCTCCCCAAGCCTCATCCGAAAAAGGCGCACCAGAAGTGACACACCCATCACTCCGGTCTCCACCCCATCCGAGAAAGAAACAAGTAAGCATGCCCGCGTTAAGGGATGGTTCGATCTGCCGTGGGACATGGAGAGCACCGAATAGATCTCTCGCATGATTTCGGCTTCAGGACAAAGGTCCGTAAAGAGCCCGGCGCCCTGGAAATCGCCCTCGTAGTGCTGCAAGCAATACCTGAGCGAAGAACCAGAACCCCCCGGCGATATACGGACTACTGAGAGATACTGAGAGACTACCTGTGGAATGCTGGCGGTTGCGAGGGGGGTCGAGTGGTTTGGGCTGCTTTGACTTTTGGACACACGATGGCACAAGGGTCCAGTTTCAACCCTGATGTTGAAACCACAAGCAAGAATCAAAAGTAGGCATGCTAAAAGTTCACTACTCACATGCTTTCAGTCCTGCTTTCAAGTCCGCCGAGGGTTGGGGGGACTGCTCGGCATAGCAAATTGATGAAGCACATCACCTGCCTGAGATCTGATATACTGATATTCTGCTAGAAGGAAGTAGCTCAACTTGGGTCAATGGCCAAGGGACAAAATGGGCTCGATGAAGAAGCTGATCTCAGCACCGGCACGGTGTCCAGAAGCGGCTCAAGGGGTCAAGAGGCGTATACAAGTGATCTATAGCATTCTATGCTGACTGGTGCTTAGTAGGGAATGAGGGAATGGATCCAATAGAATCTCTATTGGGGGCTCATTCCCTCGTTCTCTACTAAGCACCAGTCAGTATATAAAGCAGAGATTTGAGACCCCACCCACCAACAAACAGTAAGCACACCTGAGACCACTCGTAGCAAATCCATTGTTTTCACTGTTGCTGGGCAGGTGGGGTGTGTCCAATCCATGTAGCAAAAACCATGCAAAAACACCAACTCTCCAGCTATGCCTGGCATGCAAGACCGACTCGCCGACTCCACACGTCGCCGACTCGGAGTCATCCGGGCCCCCCTGGTCCCCTGGCCCAGTGGGATCCCTTTAGACGCCAGGTCTGCTTCTATGGAAGAACAGGTCGATGGCCGGCACCCATCCGAGATCCGAGCTCGCCACCGCGAGCTGCCACCCCCCACTCGGGCTGACTCCAGAGCTGGGAAAACCAGGGCAGGGCAGTAAAGGAAAGGTCCTCTTCATGGGTTCATGGGCTCTTCCACGTTTCAATTTAGTGGGAAATTCCCATCCCACAGTAAAAAAGGTTCACCGAACGAACTTCACCTGTTCAGGCTTCCATTGGGTGTCCCCGGTGCCCCCCAGAAGAGGTTCTGCAGGTGATCCACCTACTTCCTGGGTACGGCAGTGCAGCGACATCCTGTCGCTCTGCACGGGCGGTTTTTCTTGAGGTCACCAGCTCTGGCACACCATCTGTCTGACAGCCCCGGTGAGTCTTTCCCAGCATGGCATCATGTGTCTTCTAAGTCTTGCTATGAAGGGAAGAAAGCCTGGAAGGATCTAAGGTGCTTAGGTCCTTAGAAGAGACCCTTTCATGAAGCAAGACTAGGCCGGGAAGAAAGAAGGGCCAGGCTTTCAGACGGGCCGGTCATTGGAGCTTCTGGACTTCGGACGATGCGGTGGAGTTCCCTTCACTTGTGAGGTCCCATTCGTTCAAACGCGGAGCCACACAGTGAGTTTGGGATCATATATTCTAATATACTCTGACGAACACATCACATGGAAGTGGAGTTCACCCTCCTTATGGTAAAGGAAAGTCTTGTTCCAAGTTCCAATCGATCATGCCATCCACTTCCACGTTCGTGAGTGGGAGGGTGTTTCCCTTGATTTTTGGCACAGTTGCATAGTTCCACCAAAGGTTGCTACCACGATTCAAAGGTCCAGTCCACTCGAGGATCGTGACCGGACTGAATCTCTTTGTAATGGCTACAGGCGTTGTGAATGTCAGCAATAACACGTGTTTTTTTCCGTTTATAAAGCCTTCATATCCAAAGTGCATGAAATGTCAGCAGATGTGGAGGAGTTGGGGATGCTATGTTTTTTTCTTTTGCATGTTCTGTTTTGTCAACCCACCTACCTCCCGCCCTCGTCTCAGGCGCAATCAGGGCGATGACCAAAATCAGGCTTGCAGGTTCCTCAGGTCGCTTTTGTGTTCATCACGGGTAACAAACAAAATAGATATATTAAAAGTACAAAAGGTAAAACACACAACACATGCGCACAGGTTTGCTCCATTTTTCCAAAAAAGAACTGCTTTGGATGATGATGATGATGATGATGATGATGATGATGATGATGATGATGATGATGATGATGTTCAATAACTTCTTTTACAAGCTAGAGGATCCCCACGGCACAGCTGGGCAGGGGCAACCTTGCCATGGGTAAACCGTGGCAAGTTTCTACATGAAGCATCGGCAATGCTCCTAAAACTACATCCAAAACACCGTCAAGAAGTAAACACTGTACAAAGGCGCGCGCTCTCTCTCTCTCTCTCCCCCCTCTCTCCTTGCAACAGTCCACAAAACCCCTATACATTACTAACCTATGACTAGCTCATTTCAATATATTTCAATGGAAGCACCATCGCTAGAACACCCACCGCGAACACCCTCTTTGGATTTCATTCACTTCGTCCACTTCGTCTTCGATCCTCCACTCTGCTCAGCACCTCTTCGAAGGAGCTCGTGAACGGAGTGCGAACGCGTTGGCACACGGAACGTCCCATGGGAACGTCGTCCATTTGATATCCATTGGTGAAAATACGACATATGGTCTCCTGTTATATACTATCATATATCATCCATCATCCATTTGATATCCATGTTCTATAACTATTGCATATATTTGCATATATCATCTATTATATTATATTATAATCCATGTGTCATCATGTATCATCCATGTAATACATTTCCATGTCTATTCCTCCTCCAGGACACTCGCCAGTTATCGAAGTACCTCTTGGGGATCGGGATGCGGCCGATGATCACCAGATCCTTGTCGCGGATCGCCTACGGGCGGCCGTGTTGATCGGCCGAATGTCCACGGTGGCGGCCGCGTGGTGAAAGGGAGATACCCAAGGAGATAGGGGCCTGAGGCGTGTGAAAAGCATGAAGGAGATTGAAAGGAGGAGATATCCCAAGAACATCCCAAACCCCTTGACATGGAGATAGGGCCAAAACGAGACCTCTAACATTATCGCTCTAACATTGCCGCAACAACGCGAGTCTCGGCTTTTTTTTTCCGCACTGCATCGCACTGCGCTTGGACCCACATTTGGTGGATCTCACCCTCGGAGAGAGGGGTGGCCTCTCTGGATTGGGTTGGCAATCGGCGCTTGGTGGTGATGAAACCTGCTGTTCCTCCAGGTTCCTCCTCTGCCAAACATGTACCCTAGATCCATGCTGGAAAATGGCCTACGTCCATAATATATGTCAATATATGTCATCATATTAATTGTCACCAGCATCCTGACCCCATCCCCGGCCTGATAGATGTGCCGCACGCGACCTCGGAGGACGTTCTCGCTCGGTGCAGCAAGGTGGGTGTCGGGGCGCAGAGCAGCAGATGTGGAAGGATGGAAGGAACTCGCGCGCATCGCAAAAGAGGAGAACTCTTGAATACACCAATGCAAGACAACTTGAATAACATGACTTCATCCCATATCATGAATCATGATAACATACACAAGTGATCCAACTACAAAGACCACATGATCCAAACAAACAAACAGGCCGCGATGCTCGCCGAACGTAGCGGCCAGTTAAACCGTTCCCGTTTTCGATGAGGTCCTCCCTTCAGCCCTCCTTCCGTCGGTCCCGTCCGGTCGCTCAGCTCCCCGGCCGTAGATGAGGTTCGTCATCCCGAAGAAGTAGATGATGCAGCGGCACGTGAACATGGCCACGCGCGAGGAGAAATAGGCCTGAAAACGGAGACATGGCCATCAGACCATCTGGGGGATGCTGGGCCGAGCTGGGGGGCTCAGCTGTTGCCGGTCTGTCTCGCTCGAGACTGATCGTCCAACCTCGGAAACTCGGTCGACCGTGGCTGGCCGTTCTGGAGTGGTGGACGGCCGCGGCTGGCGGGCCGATGGCTGGCAGCTGAGCCAGGGAGAGAAGCGAGGCATGGTTTCTCATGCGAGATCGAAAGCGAGATTCTTCAGGAGAGAGGGTGACTTTCGCGAATCAAATCTGGAGGGCGAAAGGGAGCATCTGGAGGGCACGGCTTGAGCTTCTATCCAAAGGAACAACAAAAAAGGCTTCGAACCACTCGGCCAGGCCTCAAGGCTCAAAGTTGCAACATCGTCATGACTTGAACCCCCCCTCCATGGGTCGAACACAACTCCGCGTCAGCACGTCTGCTCTACACGTCTCCAGAGGGAGGCTCTTGCAAACTCTCACATGTCAGCTTTTTCCAGGTCGCAGGTGGTGCCCTGTTGGAAGGTTCAGGTGGGTCGAGTTCAAACAAACCGCCATCGAACCTCACATGTTGCAAGGGTTTGGTTGAGTTCTGCGAACCGTTTTCCCGGATCCAAACACCACCCGGTTCACCACCTCGGAGAGCTCTGGAGGTCGGGAAAGTGCTACTGCAAGTGCTCTCAAGTTTTGGACTGAACCCCGTACACTGGGATTCCAACCCAACATCCTGTGTTCTACTAAGGGTTTTTGACTTACTAAACCAGTTGAACCCTCATTTTTAACAGTCTTGGAAGGCTACAGTAGGGTATCACCACCCAAGGTTTTCTGCCTTACACTACTAAACGCGGTCAACTATTTTTTGAACGGTCTTGGAAGGCTAGGGTATAACCACCGAAGCTCAATTCGATGAGACCTCATCCCCCTAATGCGGAGTTCTGCTTTCAATGTGCTAAAAAATCATGCGATGACATGTGAATCACATGTGATCACATCACTGTCTTTGGTTTGTTGTCCATGCTTCAAGCACAACTGCTTCTTGCCTGGTCTTCTGCATGGTTCAGGATTCCATGACCAAAAACGAAGACGATCAAGTTGAAGCAAAGCCTTGCGGCCAACACCCGCCATGCGGAACGGAAGGTCCCGGACTGGGCTCGTCCCGTTCTTTTCCACAAAAGGGGCACCACGGCAGAGATCGATGCAACGGTGAAGACGATGCAACGCTGAAAGAATGAACATGGAATTTCATGTCGTGCATGTGTTCCGGTCTCACAAAGGGAGGGTGCACCAAGAGACACCCGTTGGTAAAAAAAACACGTGAGCCCATGAAGTTGTTTTGGAGACCTTGCTGCTAAGTGCTATTGCTTGAGAAAGTATTTCTAGACAGCCCTACTTGCTAAGGTCTAGATAGCCCTACTTGGTCTAGACAAACCTTGCTGCTTTCCCTACTTGCCTGCTGTAGGCAAAGCCTGAGGAGCGGCTTTGACTTGCCCAAAAGGACTGCTGATGCCTTCGACTCTTTCGAGGGTCTCAAACATCTGCTGGGAACAATGGTTCTTCCACTAAGCCCTGAAACCCGGTCAGTTTCGAATCCTACACCGGCTGGTCCTGGACAAGCACTTTTGGCCCTTGCCCTTCAAACAGGTGTTTGTGATCCATCCAGCCAGCTCTTCTTAGCTGATTCCCTCTCTCTCCAAGCGATTCCCACCCGCCCGTCTGTTCCCTTCCCATCCACCACCCGTTTGGGCACGCGCTTCACTGCTTCGCCCTCTTCGCGTCGCCCGAGTGGCCACGTGTTGCCGAAGACGAACTTCGGGCGGATCACGCCGGTCCAAATGATCTCCGTGAGGTGCATGAGGAAGGGATGCACCGCAATGCTGGGATCCTCCCGCCATCGAGTCGTCGAGCGGTTTCGGTTCCGGATCCGGTGGTCGGATGAAGCCGGTTCAGGAAGTCGGGCAGGTCGGTGGTGAGAGGACTTGGTGTATGGGTAGATCAGAATCCCAACTATCAGTGGGGTGGGTGGAGGATACAGGGATACATCTGATGGAAAAAAGCCGTTGCTTCCGAGGCTTTGTGCTGCCGGTGAAGATTGTGGACTGAGGAAAGTGATGATTTCGACCAAATGCCATTTTTGGTGTGCATGATCTAGCAGTTCAAAACATGCCGCTCATGGACAGGGAAACCAGATTCAACACCCAAATCCGGATGTTTCACAAAAAGACACAAGTTCTTTTCCACCCAGGTCATGCTGTTCCACCCACCAGATCACCTCCAGTACCACGAACCCCGCGTCATGCTTTCTTGTTCTTTGCAGCGATTTGCAGCGTCTCCTGCAATTCCACCATGCTGTGGAGAGCATCCGGGAACTTCCCATCTTTGTTCACCACCAAATGCCTCAGAAATCCAACGGCCTCGGGCCCCCGCTCTCACATCACTGGATCGCCAGTATTCGCCAGTGGCGGCGCACGGACTGGAAGGTGAAGTCGGAACGCTGACGAGGACGTGGCGGCTGAAAGGAACCTTCACTTCCTTCTTATTTTCCAATCAAACGACACTTCTATGTAATTGATGTTGCCTCTATAGATTTGATCTATTCTGATCCATTTAAAGGTATCGTAGTCTTTACCCCGGTCCAAAACAGTCGCTCCATGCTGTTCATGGCTTTTCATGGCTTTTCATCGTCCCTCTCTGCCTAACCCCCAGAGATGGTGAACACATGGCGGATCTCCAACCCGACTCCCCCTCCAGGCAGGTGCTTGGAAGAAGAACCCCCGGACCGTCCATACCACCACCACAACTGGCTGGTGGTTTAGAGGTTCCCGCCGGCCTGTTGACCAAGAATTCACCATCCTGCCAGGAGTGGAGGTCGACCACCACTAAACATCATCTGAACGAGTGCCACAAGCCGCCACCTAGACAGCCTGGTCTTCCCAGCTATCCTGGCTGGGCATGTTCATTGCTTGTAGGGTTCTCATATGCCAAAGTCCATATATCATGCATTGGATACAAATTGTATATGCACAAATGACGTAGTATGTGGATGCCGTAGTCTGTATGGTCAAGTTGCTTGATGTAGTAGTTCGCCCGACGCATGCCGTTGTGCGCCAAATGGGACCGCCAAACCATGCCGTTGAAGAGCGGTGTCCTCGGTAGCAAGTTTCAAGACAACCTTGTTCGAATCCTTTACTGATTTCAACATTGTTTGACAACGACAACTTCATTTAGACAGGCATGGGCCTTTTATAGAGGGGAACCTTTTGATTGAAAGACCAGAAGTGACTGGACCAGAAGTGGGGCCCCCTCCAATCTGAAACCTCTTCAGAAGGTTGGACCTTAAATGATCTACACTGATTTCAGAGTAGATGGCACTGGCACCCCAAGATGTCCTTAATGGGGTCCATACACACTACATCACACTACCGACATAGGGACTTATGCCATCTACTCTGAAACCAGTACTTTTCAACGTTGGACCGTGACAGTGCAAATCGGACCCACACGGTGTTCGCCTAGTCCTGGGCTCCGTGCCTCCGTCGTCGAAGTGGGGAAACCGCGTCAACCGCGAACGGCAGGAAAGAAACGATCGCACCCAGCAAAAACCGTCCAAGGGAGGAACAATGAGCCTGAGATAATGATTTCACCACACATTTGCATCAAAACGTGACATGGTGATGCCGGGTTTTTCACCCTCAAGTGGTCCATCTTGGATGGTTCTCCGTCACACCTCTCTCGGACGATGGGGCGAGCCGCAAGAGCACGGTGGCGCGGGTGCCTAAGATCTCAACGATGTCTGGGTGCCTGGCACAGGGGCGTCGGGAGCGACCTCTCAAGGCGATGGTCCAAAGCGTCCGATCGTCACGTGACGAACACGTGGCTGAAAACACATGAAGAGGAGCTGTTTTCTTCAGATATGGGCACCAGAACTGAAGCCTCAAAAGGTCTTAGTTGAGCTCCATTTCGTCAAGAAACACCAGCAAAAAGAAGGCCTGGCCAATAACCACACTACCCCACACTACCTATAGGCTTCCATTGGGCACCCCGACAGGATGGTCCAGGTATCCTACTTTCGTGGGAGAACTGCTCCTGGGGACACCAACATCGAAGGCCTCTCAAAGAGATGATCCAAACCATAGTAGTACCTGGCCGTGGCGGTGACACAGTCACCTAGGATGAGAAGGGAGCAAGGTGAGCAGGTGGACAAGGAGAGCAGGGACTCTTACTGTAGCCTTTTGGTCCTTGTGCAGGTGAGCAAGATGAGGATGACAATGACAATGGTGGTGCTTTGCCAGCCCAATGGTTTCAGTCATCAGGGAGATTTCATCAAATCGCCGCATTGGTCGCACCAACCAGCTAGGCCACCCTCGCCCCACCCCACCGTCGTCCTCCGTCCACCGATGGTCCCGGTCCGTCCCGGTCCCATCGGCACTTCTCTCGGTCGGCGCGGATGGTCAACAAGTCTTCGATGATGTGCTCGGCAGCCGTCCAGGTGCCACTGTCGATGGCCCACATCAAGGGGCTGATGGATTGGGTTCCCACCTGCAGGTGTCCGGTTTTGTTGGTGTGATGCGGAACGCGCGGGTTACGGGTGGGTTACGGGGCGGAACGGCAAAAAGGGGGTGGGGGGTTGGGAGGAGCACTGTACTATGTAGAGCGGTGAGTTTTTGGAGCTGGTTGTTGGCACCACAGAAAGGAAAAAGAGGGAATCTGATTGCGACTTAATAGGTTGTGTCATCTGGGCTTTTTCCAACGGCGCATCCCTGGGGATTCCAAAAGCCACTTCTGTTTTCAAGCCAAATACCAACAATTATTTCGACATATTTTGACTATAGCTTTAGTAGCTATAGTATGCATTAGTCATGTTTGATTCCTTTTTGGGTTTGATTTCGTCACAGGACGATGGACAACCATGTCAACCTTTCTTTGCATTGTGACTTCCAAATAGGCGAAGCAGTCGGATGCCGAGTTCCGCCCGCGGCGGAAGACGGAGCGGAACTCGGCCGCAGATGGCGGTTTAGGGTTTAGCCCTTTCTGACGGTTGAAGTGGAGAACATTCTGAAACTATCTGTTGAGTTGCATGATTGAGATGGTTCATAACTGGAACATTCTGGAACTCTCCAAAAGTCAAGGATTGACGCCGGACACCCAGCAAAAAATGCTCAGTATCCCCCAAGATTGATTTCATACACACACCTGATCCAAAGATGTTCGTACCAAGTTTGGATGCGCGGAGAATGTCACCAACAAACTCTGTGGCTGTTTGCTTTCAGTGGCTAATGGTCTAATATTAGTGAAGCTATGTACCAGAGTGGGACGCCCTCCTGCCATGGACTGCATGTCACTTGAATGTACAAGCGAGTGTAGGTGATTCGAGATCATTTCGCTCTATAGAACAAGGAGTAGAACAAGGGAGGGCCCCTAGTTGCCCTCCTGAAATGAGCATAATACCTTCAAAAACTCAGTGGTTTGGAGGGCCTCTAAGTTTCTTCAAATTCTATTGCATGGAAAGACTAAGACTCTCTCTCTCTCGACTTGGTTGATCAAGATCGTTCGGTATTCTCGTGGGATGAATCTTCCATGTCAACCAAGTCTCCAACCCCCCAAAACACCACCACCTCCCTGAAAGCGCTGTTCAGCGCTGGTACCTACCTGGCCCCACCACACCTCACCTCACGCCCCACCACCGTCGTCGTTGTTAGCGACTTCCGAGTCTCCGAGATGGTGAGCACCCACTCGCAGCGCTTGCCCCGCGGCGCGCAGGCCAATGAGGTGGACAGCAGCTCCCGGGAGTTCTGGTTGATGGCCTTCATCACCTTGCCGCGGCCCGCAGCGAACCGTCCGTCAGGGCCAGGGCGGGCGACTGCGCCGGACAGGGCGGCTGGTCTGCCGCCCGCCGTGGCGGCAGTGTCTGGTCTGCCGCGGCGCTTCTTTGGGGGGGGGAAGGGTTAGCCCATGCCCAGACGCGCACAGCGATACAAGGCGTAGGATCGAGACACATCTCTCAAAACGAACGAGCTCAAATGGTGGTGAAGAGGCGCAGGTTCGGTGCAAATGTCTCGGTGTGGACTGAAGGACGACGCCGGATCAAACATGCGAAGGCTTACCGTATAGGTGAGCCATTGTATAATTAATACTATATACCAGCACCTTCAAAGGGGTCACCAATGGAAGCCCCTACACTACTAAGGGACCTCCATTGGACACCCCTTGAAGGTCCAGGTACATAGTGTGCTGATTCATGCAAAGCAGAAAGGATCCACTGTCGGATGTATAGGAGCAGTTCAGTAAGGTGCTTTCCGAGGAGTTGGTGTGCCAAGCTAGCGGATGTCCCACGTTTTTAGTCGCGTGATATTCATCAAGTTGATGCCATCATGCTAAAGCCGAGGAAGGGTGTATATCCTTGTATCAACCTACTACACTCCCTGGCCCCGGAAACTATGCTCCTGGTGGACCATTTTTCTCTTCCACTTCCATGTTAATGCCTGGGAGTAGTATGGCATATTGGTAGAGCCCCCCCTCACATGAGGCATCACATCTGCGTACTCGGTGGTAATTCAAATCCCACCCATCCGCTGGCATGAAACATCCGCTGGCGACATCACCTTCAACAACTCGTGACCTTTCCACTCTTGCACCACTTGACTCATCTTTCACCACCAAGAAAGCTTACAACCCAGCCATCCTTGTCGTGCCATCATCTTTTGCCTTTCATCAGTTGGAGGCTTTCCACCCCCACTCCACGCCACTCCCCCCACTCCGCGTACTCCGTGGAGTACGCCGTCCAAGCCACGATGGTGGAGCCTTCCTTGATCGTCCTCACCAACCTGACCCCGTTCAATGAACAGGACGGCTCCGCTCCGTTTTCACCCGAACTCGTGCGCTCCGTGCGCTCGTGCGCGCCGCGCTGGAGCCGAGCCGGAGCCGGACTTGGGGCCCGAAAGAACGGCAGGGGCAGGGCGGACTAGAGGAGACGTCGGTGAGGACGGCGGAACTGACACCGGAGGGGCGAAACGAAACGCCGCAAAAGCCATTTGGATGATCCCAAACGCGTTTGGGACTGCCATCGGACTGGCGCCTACATTGACCCCCCAAACACCACCCCAATGTAGGAGAGTGTAGGCATATATGGCACACATGGAGTGTCTGGGTTATAGAACCGTTTTTGGGAGCATCTTGGTACTTTGGTACTGTATGTGACGACGTCGACCTCTATAAAAAATAGGCCGTGTTCTTCCTCAGCAGCGAATGGATCAACTGCGACGCCCTCCCAAGGCATCCATTCGGATGAAGCCAGGTTCCACTTGGCCTTGATGTGCCTCCCAGCCTTCTAAAACCCGACTTAAAACCCTATAGGGATCCAGTCGTACTGAACCTCAGAAGGTAAGACCGGATCGGGCGACTTCGCGCGGCCAGGGCACATCCTGGAGATCAAACCCAAGGACCAGGAGAAGCTGTCCATGACCTCCTCCGGTGCCTTGGCCTCTGTTTCCAGCGTCTCCTTCAGACGGCTCGCGGAGGCTCGTGGAGGCTCGGAGAGGGTTGGTGGAGTTTCCGCCAGGGTCATGGTGATCATGGTGCTTGGATACTCCTATCTTCCCCCCTTGCGGCTCTTGGCTTGGGCGCATTTCGGTGGGGCTCACTTGGGGGGGTGGGAGCCAGGAGGGGCTCCAGGAGGGGAGTCTATTTCGATCCGTCCCTGCCCTAAGATGGGACAGCCCTAACTTGGGACAGCCCCTGGGCCCCAGGTCGAAACGTCTTCCAAACTGCGACGCGGGGTCCCTGAGCTCAGTCTGGCACTTTGGAACGAAATGAACGGAGAGGTCCAAAGCTGGAGACCTCAAGTGTTGGTGCTTTCACGGAGGTGTTCTCTGGACGGTGGGTGCATGTTCATGGGGAACCCAGAAACCATTTGAGGTTCCAGGAAGGTGGCACACTAGACACTAGGCACTAAGGATCATAAAAAGATCCAGAACTCTTCCGATGAACCTCAGAGCCTCTCAGGGGCCAAAGCAGCATCAAACCCATCCCAGCTGGACAGCTGGAGCGAGTGGTGTAAAAGAAGTGTTTCTCAGCTGACCTCCGTGCTTTCTTCGCGAAGAAGTCGCGCAGATTGAGGTGATCACCCGCTGAAAAGGGATGCAGGTATTACAGAAAACCCCTCGAAACATCCTTCGCCCAGCTGCCTCGAGCCCTCCCACACCCCCTCAGTCAGACCCTTGAGCCCGTCCATGGCGGCGGAGACGAAGGGACCAAAGTACTCGATGGGCACGGCATAGCCCACGTGGCGTAGACCCAAGGCGCTGATCTCGTCGACCATGCGATAGGGATATTTGATGACCTCAAAGCCTCGTTCGGCGTTCGGAGATCGTTCGTTCTCAAGGCCTTTCAGGGCGAGAAGCGCGAGGCGGAAAGGAACACAGGAAAGGAACACGTCCCGAAGGGACGATCCAGTGAACCCCGGCCCCAAGACCACAACTAGGAACTGTAGGAAGTTCAGGGATTCATGGAAAAAGGGCCCTACCTTCTGAGCAAAGGATGCTTAGTGATGTAAAAGAAAAGGGCCCTTCTCAAAGAACTCTTTGGGACTTTCCACATGTCCAAGCACCCGAGATTCAACAGCTCCACCATGCCATCCTCCACTGCTCCACTCATGTTCCACCACCCACCACCCAATCGCCGCGGCACTCATATCCAGCACGCGATTGGCGATCAGCGCCAGGCGCGACGCCGATTGCTTGAAATGATCCTGTCCTGGCCGACAGGGCGGGTTGAGAGGGTTGGAGTACACTCGGTTGAACTCATGTCGATGGTGACTTGGAACCTTCTTTTTACACTATGACTCACTAACATGGAATGGCCCCTTGGAAGACTACTGTCCTTTACAAACAGGCGGTTTTCCACTTCCATGTTAGAGTCGGAGTGTAGACTGACCCACCAGTCTGCCTTGAGCATTTCAAGTTTGAAGACCAAACAGGCGGTGAACCGTTAGAGGGTACACCTGAGGCACCTGAGGGGGGTGCAAGTTCACCAATTGCGGTGGAAAGAGGCGACCCCAAAGCGACTGATTGAGGCGGACCCGCGGAAACCGGGGCAGGTGGAGAAGCTCCTTGACTCGAGCCCGCTGAACAGCGCCGATCGGAGACCCTGATTATATCCCAAACACTCCATGGGGCTGCCGCTACATTCACCCCTCAAACCACCCCAATGTAGGCATATATGGCAGCCCCATGGAGTGTCTGGGTATAGTAACGCAATGATGGTGATATCGACATCTTGACATCTCTGACTGTGTTGTTACAAACTCATCATGTTCGTTGACACATCGCCAGGGCCCGACCAGGACGATCGGGAATGGTCTCTGTCTGGTATCTGTCTGCGATTTGATCATCAGAGGCTACAACAACATTGGGTTCCAAGACCGTGAGCCCCGAAAAAAGGAAAAGGAAAGGCCCTGTCCGTGACTGGCGTGCCAGGTTTTCAGGTCAGGAGGCGATGTTGGACCATCTCCCAAACACATCGCCCCGCTGCGGGGCCCAACCCCTCCAAAAACATCCGATCGATCTTCGATTTCCCAACAAAACATTCAAACAAATACCACAGAAAAGCATGAACACATCAAGTACATAAAACTAAGCCATACCCAAAAAACACACACTGCCCGGCACGGTGCCTGCAGGCACCAACTGGAAGAACCGCCCATACAAGGTGAGGCAAATCGCATCACGTCTCTCTTGGTCGATGGACGCGAAGAAACGCCTCGAGATCGGGTGCGTAGGTGCGGACGCGCGGGGGGACGGGTCGTTGGGTGTGTAGAGGACCCAGGCCTGGGGTCTGATAGGACCATATAGGATGCCAGGTCGGGCCGGGCTGGTCTCCTTACTGAAACCCCTCCGCCTGTGGTTCCAAGAAGTGTCGATGACCGTTGGGCTCCAGGTTTGGAGCCCAAATCCATGTCAAATCCATCTCAATCAATCTGTAGACTCTGACTCACTAACATGGACCCCCACCCTTGTTGGTAGAGGAAACTAGTCCTCCACAAGACCAAGCCATCCACTTCCATGTTAGTGAGTCAAAGGCTAACAGGGTCACACTTCTCCACCAGCCCCACCAGCCTACCACCCAACCCGCCACCAAATCATCCCCAACTCCCCCCACCATCCGCCATTTCTACCGAGTTCGAGCATCCCCAGGAGGCGTTCACGTTGTTGCGGCTTGCCCAGCTGCTGCTGCAGTAGGTGCTCCACGTTTTGCCAAAGCCAGGACCAAGCCGCTTCATGCGAGGCGGACCAGTCCTGGAACGACGAGGGAAAGACTCGTCCTTTTCTTGAGATTTTGTTTGGCTTCCTTGGCGTCCGGACCCCTGAGAAGATGTCGGGTCCGACCCCTGTCATGGAGGGCCCAAGGATTGTTAGGGTTGTAGATTTTTTTGGTCTCTATATATAGACCAAATTCGAGAGGAGGATGAAGCATACTTAGAGGGAGATTTACCATTGGTGTTTCCTTAAAAAAGCCGCATGACTTCTGCTCCAATCAGAGGGTTTTTGTCCAAGAGCCACGAGGAAAAGGTCTGATCGTCGTTCCAGGTAGCATCAACCAATTGGATGAGTCCGAGAACTGTCTTCAGCATGCCAAACCCAAAGACTCCGGATTGGAACATCTATACCTACCTCGACCAATGACCTCATACCTCCACCCACTGGCCTTTTCGGAGTCATCGAATGCCAGTCCCAAACCACCCCGGTCGTTGGTCGGCTCGTTGCCGGGACGGAGAGGTCGGCATCGTCACCGGCGGCATCTGTATAGACCAGTCCTTGGGGATCAAGGAGCGCAGGGACGCCAGCATCACCGCCTTGAAGTCCGATAAGGTGATGGGCTGCGGCATCCTCACAGCGGCTGTCCGGAAGGCGGTCAGCGGGAGCGAGCGGGAGCGAGCGGGAGCGGAGCATCGCACACATCCGGAGCAGCTGGGGACGCCATCGGCTTCTTCCTCCAGTTCTGTACAGTAGGGCCTGGGGGGTTTCCGGAGTTGCCAGGTGTCGAAGGAGGTCCTGTCAGGTCCGGTTCCTGTGAACATCTATACCTTGAAAACACCACCGCCAGCAAACGACCCACACAACATATCAAAAACATCACGCCGCACGGTGTAAAAGCACAACCATTATATATTTTAAATTCACGATCCATTTCTTAACGATTTCAGCATCCATCGGGCTGTCTTGCGACCTTTGATGCCCCACCCCAAAGTTCCCCAGCGCTTTGGTCCATCCGAAGCACTTGGCCATCTTCAAGGTCAAGACATCACCTGACGGGCTCGTTGGGCGAGCTCCGAAGGTGGAGCCCTCAGGGCTCGCCCTGCGATCTTGTGGCGTGGGGAGCTCTTTCGGGGTCTTCATGCACGGACCCTAGGGCTCCAAGTACCTTCTGAGAAGGTGGGACAGGGGGTTGGTTTAGAGGGTCCAAATGCATTACTTGGAGCCCTAGGGCCCTAGGGGGATGCATCTTGATATGGGTCATCCGTGGGATCGGGCGGTGGCATTTTGCAGCGATTGGACCGCACTCAGACCGGCTCGATGTAAAGAAGGAACCTGTTTTGGCCAATGCCTACCACAAAAGAACACGTGACTATTTTGCCAGATTGGTCTCCCCCATGTAGAATCTATAGTAAAACGCTCCCCCAAACATGGCATGTCAAACCGGTCCATCAAGAAGAACTATAGGGTCCAGGAATCGAGGATGGTCTTCGGCGCTCTTAGGGGAGTCTTCACTTCTGAGGGCCGAACAGGTGCGATGCTAGCGATGTGCAGCGAAGCAAAAACGAGAGGACACATCGCCCGCAACGAACATCACTTGAGAAAAATTATCCACACATCTCCACACCCATCTTCTGCAGTACAGGTCCAGTTCTCATGTGGAAACCCTTCTTGTCCGACCGATCCAAACCGTGTTGCTCTTCACCGATCCGGACCGAGCCACACTCTTCCTGCAGTCGGAAGGTGTTCCCGGCATTCACCACGATGGTGTCGAAGCAGTCCAGCACCTGCCACGTTCGCCGACCGTCCGCGGCGTCGGGCCAGTCGTGCGGACCTGGAAGGTGAATGAAACTGGTCATCTGAGTTGACCCCTTTTTTGTTTAGAGACTACCGTATAGATGTATATATAGTTTTAGTGCATGTCACGCCTAAACATGATGTTTGTATGCAAACCCGAGAAGAATGTTAGGGTTCAGAAGCTCAGTATATATATATATTATATTACCTCATTCATGATACTATGATGTCTTATACCCTAGCGATCCAAGTACCTTCTCAGAAGGTGATGTGTTCGACACTGTTATGTAGGTGCCAGCAGGGTCCGGTCGCACCCGACTGGATCCCTAGGGATATATAACTCATGTCTAATTTCTTCACAAAAAGACGCTTTCTGGGGTCGAGCAAAAAACGGTGCCACAGGTGATCTGGAGATATCTGGAGTGCATGGAAGGCGGGTGGCGAGCCACCCCCGTTGAGAGTTACAGAACACGGTGACGTGGCTGGCATGGATCCTGGATGACCAGGTGGTTAGGTTCCCACTCCACGTAGAACAAAATGCCTGCCTCCTCCAAGGAGTGTAAGCAAGTGAGCTTGCCATGGTTTTCATCCAAATCTCGTTCCGATGCCCCGGACGGACAGTCCGATCCAACCCGCCCCGAGGCTTCTTGGATCAGCCCCAAGCGCTGCGCGTCGGGCGGCCCCTTCAGTCTCCCCAAGTAAAGAAGAGTGCCCCCAAGAATGAGCCCCATCCGCCCCATCGGAAGAACAAACATATAAACAAGGGCCTCATACATCCAGTCCTCAAGCAAATCCATGACCGCAGCATTGAAGCAAAACATATCCTCAGGCACCAATGAGAGGCTTGCTGTGGCTACAAAAACTGGAGAGGTTCTTCAAGTTGGTCTTCAAATAAGGACAAAAGCCAAAAGCCAAGCATATGAAGTTTTATCGAGTGGATGGGGTTGCAGTGGATGAAAGGTCGTGCCAAACAAGTGATGATGCGAAATAATTTACCAAAGCAATCTAACCAAACACTTATAGTCTTATACATCTTATACTAGCCTTCCAAAGATACAGCAAGCATCTTTATATGAAGTTACCATACTGTCAAACACCTGGACTCTCCAAGATCCTTCTCCCAGTACGGCATAGTCCGCCGAGCATCATAGAAGGTCCTGGGAACATTTTGTTCCTTGTCCTTCTTCCTCTTCTGGATCCGAGCCTCACCCAGTCGACTCTCAAAACGGCGGATGGCCGCAAAACTGGGGGCAGAAACACCGGCAACAACACACCCCAATCAATTCAAAAACTCCAAAAAGAAGACGCGCAACAACATGATCAGACAACATGCAACCAAAACCGACCATCAGAACCATCGACCCGGTGGTTCAGCCATGGGATCGCCGCACTAACTCCCTTCCATTCGACCATCGATCGATCCGGAAAAGAGCGTTCCTGCTGAAGGAACGAAGACCTTCTAGTAGCTGGGCTTGGAACGAACGGCCCGCCGATCTGTTAGCCGTGCCGTTCTGGAGTGGATAGATAGATGGGAAAATTCCAAGAACTGCAAGCTGATCATGGTTTTTTCGGGTTGCTTCATACTTACTCCGATGCTTGGACATCGCACGATGACATCTCGTCGGATGTGAAGTACGGATGCCCTCAGTTCTATATTCTATTTTTCTGCCCCCCCCAGTTTGCCGCACCTGATGCGTCTCTTCTTCCGCAATGGCTTCCGGATCCTTCTCCACTTCCACATTTCTGACGAACACGCTGAACGGCCCCGGCATGATGATGGTAGTGGCACACACGATGAAAGTGGCATGATCAAGATCTGGACCTTCCAACTATTTGCCAAAGTTCTCCTTTGTCATATCTTTTGTCCATTAAAAAGCAGCCGAGTTAGACAGAACTTTTGCATACTTTTGCATAGTTGGAAGATCCAGGTCTATGACGTGCAATCTGGTCCCGGCGTGCCGTATACCTGATCTCGACTGCTGCTTGACTCTCGGCTTGAACTGTCATCTGTCTACTAAATAATCTTGGCAGCCGAGATCGAATATAGTGAGTAGATAATCTTTGTGACATGCTATGTCAAAAAACAGGGGCAAACGGCAAACGGTTGTTTTTTTCCCGCCTTCAGAGATTCAGCGGTTGATCTGTTGTTAAAATGGGCCTCCTGGTTTGGCAAAAGCGAACCAAGCACTGGGACCTCGACACGATCTGACGGGATGGCGTTCGCCCGAAAGAAGGGGTGAGAACGCATATCTTATGGTCCAAAGTTCGCCCAAGTTCTGTGCATAGTGGGTCCATATCTCGGTCCATACGGAGTATACACCATACCATCATTAATCCATTGTATAGTATCTCGGCCCAGACTATAGTACTATAGTACTTACTAGTATAGTGGTGTCATAGAGTAGCACATATTGTGGACATCTGATGGGTTGTGACCAACCACCCATGTGACCAGATATATTGGACCGAGATATATTTTGATGTCCCAAACATCCCAAACAGGTCCCTGTTTGTATCATGGTGATTTTTCTCCGATGTGTTGGCTCGGAAGCTGAAGGCGCGCCTTTCTTTCTGCTTCAGCGCCTCTGCTTCTTGTTGCGCCTCTTCGCTTCAGTGCAACTCGACCAGATTCCAGGTCCAAACGGACTTGTTGCGATCGAAATGGCGCCAGGCTGGCGCCAGGCTTGCGGCTTGGGGAGGATACCGTATCCTCTTGAGCAAATGGTCCTGCTCAAACACCCCAGGGATCTGCTTCTTCAAGCAAATGGTCTTGACCGAACTCATGCTGAACTCATGCTCATGCTCATGTCGTCCAAATCCACATTTGTCCGCACCGCCATGGTGCCACAAATGATGTCACTCAGGGAAACCAACTTCTACGTACTGGCCATATGGATTGAACAGCTTCATGCGTGGCATTCAACGGTGGGTCCTGTTTTCCCAAAGCTTGGACATCAAACGCGGCGAGGTTTTTCCAAAACACCCGAAGTCTCACGCGCCGCGCTGCGAGGCAGTGCCACAAGGAAGAAGCAAGAAATTCTCCCCCCCTTCTTGGATCTGGGGTCCCAGTAAGTAATGCTTGAAGGAGGTGCAATAAGTGTCCCAGTGACCTGCCGTCGAGGTGGCTGCCACTCCGCCCTTCAACTCCGATCAACCAAGCTGGGACAGGGCCCCTGCTCTGAGACTCTCCGCTCAACCAGTAGGGACCAATGGAGGATGACCATTGGGAGGGCTTTGGATCAATCAGGATGACCATGATCTCTCACCTTCCAAAATGAATGGGTGGGGGCTTCAATTCGGTACGGTATAACTATGATTCAATAATGTTGGTGCGCAACACCAAAGAGTTTAAGCTCATCTCACCATGTTGATCCTCAAACAACTCTCTGGGAAACATGGAAATTCCAACCATGCTATTTCCATCCAGTGGCCTTTTCTCTGGCTTCCTTCTCCTTAAACAAGCGGACGTAGATCATTTCACGGAATGATCCATCTGTCAGAAAAGCCTGAAACTATACCACCACCACTGGGCCCTGAAGACTGTTAAACCCCTGGTGGAGCGTCTTTCGGCCATGTTTGGGCCGCCCTAGAACTATAATTACTATACAGGGGGAAGTAGTCCAGCTGGATGCAAAAATGGTCAAATGACTCCGGGTTTTAGCTTCATAGGGCTCACATGACAACTCCAAATCCAGTCAAATGAGGATGGCCTGACCAAATTGATAAGAGTCCAGTAAGGTGATCCTACTGTTTTTCTATAAATCCCAAGAGCATGAGGACAGGTGGGTGCAAACACTTAATAGGACGCCGAACTCTTCTGAATCAAAGGATTTGCCCAAACCCAACCAAACCCAAAAACCCATCAAAGAACCTTCTTGGGAATCCAAACCCAAAGAGGCAAGAGGCCCTGTCGTCTCGTCGCTCTTTCGTCGCTCTTCGGGTAAATCGCCCCGGTCGGAACGAGCATCAAAAACCAGGCTTTGCCCGCTGGGTTTCCGGTCGGTTCCCCCCCAACAAAGCCAGACGACCCGACGACACGACCTGTCTGGGACTGCCAGGACTGCCGCCCCAGAGGTCGACCCCTCTGGCACCACCCCGGTCGGCCGTTTTGAAGGCAGTCCGACATGGCAGTCCCAAACGGGTCGTGTCTGGGTGATGTTGAATGATGGACAGAGCAAGACATCAGTCCCATCACTCGACATCTGTCGCCAAAGCAAACGCATGTGTCTCTACTATGGTTGGTCTTGCGCATGTGGAAGCAATTCCTTTCTGACCAGTTTTGATCACTCTGGTCATCTGAGTCTTGAAAGGAATATGTCTGGGAAGCATCTCTCTGCTCATTGAAGCAAGCCGCTTCGCCTCTGGCTATTTCATGGCGGTCACTGGATACAATAGTGGAATTCACACACGTCGTGCATGTCTCAAAACCATCTTCCACCAAAAGACCAGCGGGCTTCGTGTCACAACGCGCCATCTCATTGGCCATAGACCTTCATCGGCCGAATTACTCCCCTTGGCATCGGCCTAATTGGGAAAACAATGGGAAAACCGTCTCCTCCAAAAACCACCCATCTCTCTCTCTCTCTCACTCTCTCTCTCTCTCTCTCTTTCATTTTCCCCCGAGTGATGTCGCTCCCGCAGTACTTCCCGTCTTTTCCTCACCTCACCCACGCCAACAACACCATATCACCCTCTCACTCCCTCAGTCCTCGTGACACCCACACGACGCGCCGGTTCTTTTTCACCGCGCCGGTCCGCGGCGCGGCGCGGACCTCGCCGAGACGCAGCCTTTTTGCATGCTTTCCGGTCCTCGTTCGCCTCGGGTCGTCCCGCGGGAGGCGGGTTCCGCGTGACCGAGGAACTGCTTGGATGGAACAGCTGGAAAAATGGACTAAACGGCCCTTCCCCCAAGCGAGGGCCCAAGAAGCTCAGCAACTCAGCAAATCCAAGAAACCATCTTCTGGGTGAACAACCGATGTGTTCGCCAGGATTCAACAAACGGGCAAGATATGGACATGTATTATCAACCTGTCAGTCTAATATGAGGAATAGGATCAACAGGGATCAACCACACAATTCGACCGAGTGGCCACCACCCAGCTCTCTGAGAGGATCCGCACGCGGTCCGCGTAGTTCGAGCGGATGTAGATCAGCGTGCCCCCCACGTAGTTCCTACGTGGCACAGGGCGCGCGCGCTCCACAGGCGCTCCCGCGCTCCCGCAGGGGCCCCGAGAGCGACAGTGACCAGGTAGTGACCGGAATCCGGTCCACGACCGTTGGAGTCCGACTCCGGGTGGGTGAAGCAAACATGTTCTTTCACCTGGTCTATGTGCTTGATTCTACTCCTCATGCCAGAACTATATAGATTCTCGCACCCTATAGATGGTCCATGATAGTTGCTTCCCGAAGAAACGCATGGGCTGCAGCATGACCACACATGTTCCAAACCATTGTTCAAACCTGCAAGGGGGCTTTCACTCAAGGGATTTTTACCCTCACAGGTGTGGCGTTGGCCAACCCGCCCGTCCGCGTTCTCCGCGTTCGCCGACCTACCAAGGGCACCCTAGAATAAGGTCTTCTCAAAGGCAAGAAGAAGGGCGACTTTTCTGCGAATGTTCTGCAACCAGCATCCTCCAACAGGTCACCCATTACCCATGGAGACCTGTTGGGGCCCAAGCATCCTCTATCCCGGAGACCTGTTGGAGGATCATCCTTGTCCGTCTCCTTGTCGCTCCGTCCAGGTGTGAGGTTCCAAGGGGCAGAACTTGGAAAAGGCCGTTGCGGGCGGCTGTGCCAAAGTGGTGCCTCAGAGCTCCAAGGTGCGAGGTCGAGATCGAGTCGAAATCGGGATGGCGCGGAACAGGGCAACAGGTCGCCGCAAAGACCGCACGGTCCATCGTGTGCAAGCCCTCAAAAACCAGCGGGGTCGTTAGTGACGCTGCCAGCATACACAACAGATTCCGACGTGATTTCACCAGTTCGGGACACATAAAAAACCATCGACTTTGTTTTCTTTTTTCCTTTGCGCAGTGTATGCCAGGATCGGATCGATGGACAAACCGCATTGTTGTTTTGAAGTGCTTTATGTTTGAGGACTCTTAAGTTGTTTTCATGTGGGTCGCAGTGAAGCAGATGGCAAGAACCTAAACACGGAACTGGGCGATGGAAATGCCACACTTGCATCGAATTGCAAAACGATCCGGTGATGCTCTTGAATGTTTCTTCCAAGCCTGCCGTGTTGCAGCACGACCAACATCCGCAGCATGACCAATGCTGTCAGGTGCTTTTCAATGCATCCATGAACAGTTGAACCCATTGGGTGTCGCATGTTCGGCGTCGCTGGATCCCCAAGTTCCTCACACCCCAAGATGCTACTCCAAAAAGGGAATCCTTATAGCCAACCCCCCCCCCAAGCAACACCTGAACACATCTCCCAACATTCGACTTCCCAACCCCAAAAAACTCGAAGTAGTGGCTCGACATGAAGGATGTTCCGTTCCGGGTCTACGATTGCTCTATATAATGTCGGTTTGTTTGGAACATGACGTCGGTTTGTTTGGCCGATATGAAACCCGTTTCCGCCGTCCTCGCCGTCTTTGAAGCTTCCGCCTCCGCGCGGTCGTGCGAGATGCCCCAGCTCGTTGGAGAGGAGTTCCACGATGGCATTGCGGACGATCTCCACCCTTGAGGTCGTCACGTCCAACCTTGAGGAATATGAATGAGAGAGATATGGCATGTATAAAGCATATAACATATAAGTCTCTCAGTGTCTCTCTCTCTCTCTCCCACTTCCACCCTTGAGGATGGCATATCGCTTCCTTCCCCACCGCAACTCGGATCCTTCTCACCCGGAGGCTTCTCGCCTTCAACCGGACCCCACGGTCGCCAGTATTTGGACCCTCTAAACCTACCCCAGTCCCACCTTCTCAGGTTCGGTATGACTGGAGCCCTAGGGATTTAGAAGGGTGGTGCCATCCACCAATCCCTCGCACTCCACGTGTTCGTGCGAAAAAATGTCCAATCAACGGCACCATGTCCGCCGAGTCCTGCAAGGTGATTCTAGGTACCTGCTCTACTAGGTGATGAACGTGGAACAAACAACAGAAACAACTAAATCCCAAGCTGCGTGTCTTTCTAAACATGTATAACCATGATTACTCATGTATATGTATATATATGTTTATGTGTGTGTCTCTCTCTCTCTATCCCGCTTGTCACTGTCTCTAGAAACATGATGGTCCAAATACCGCAAAAGGAGGAGAATCACACGTTGAACTCCCTGCAACCACACTAAAAAGGACGTGTCATGTAAAAAAAGCAAAAGCAACCAAACACAAACATCTTCCAGGATCCCTTTGGTTTGGAGGTGGCTTTCATAGTGCCACACACATCTGACCTTGCTCGGACCATCAGCCGGGACTCACCGGAAGACAAAAACTGGACTCACCGGTCGTTCCCTTTCGTTTGCCGAGTCACTCCAGGTGTCTGAACCCAAGCATGTCCACCTCGCGTCAGGGCTGTCGACCCAACTCGGCGTTCTCGACCCGAAGGGTTTGAGGGGCCCAGGCACCTGGGTGGGACGCCCCGAATGAAGATGCCAAACGAAGACGAAACGAAAGGGATGATCGATTTGGGCAGAAGACGAAGGCAAATGAGCAAGTTTGTGGAGTCTTATGGTTAGTTAGTTTGTTCAATGGGGTTCGCGGTTAGCGATTGCAAGGTCTCCACTGATGAAGAATCCTCAACTGTGAGACCTGCGAGACTATATCTGCCATTTGCTTTCCGGATGTGGTTCACAGGTTTCCCTGGTACATTCTTTTGTGCTTCACCATCTAAGCCAAAACTGAGCCCCAAGAAAGGCTTCACTCCGAAGCCAATGCAGTCACCAGTCACCAGCTCTTTCTCCTAAAGGCGCATGCAAGCAACATCATACAGGCACCCAGTCATTAAGAAGTAAGAACCTACCTGGGGAACAAACATATGGAACACCCTTTACACCCTGGAAACTTCACATGGAACCTGAATACCTCTAGAATAACCGCTGGGTATTCATATTCAACAACTATCCTCTTCCAGTCTGGTCCCATGTTAGTCAGGTTCGAGTCTCGAACGCCGAGTGTTAATCAGGTTCCCACAGAACTTCGACCCAGGTGCCCCAGCTCTCTCCCTCTCATGCAGTGGTTCTGCATGCTACGGTGGTTCTGCAGCTCAGGCGCCAAGTTCTTCACATCTTGCGGTTCGTTGAGGCTGTTGATGATCTGCCAAACCGAAGGAATTCATCGAGGTCGTGCATCCGTTTTTTTTTTGTAGCGCTGGAACTAAAACATGAAACATTATTCTGGTTGGTGGTTTCAACTATCTTGAGAAAACCTTAGTGACTGGGTTCAAACAAAGGTTGAACACATACATCCGAAACCACCACCTATATTAAAGTGATCCTTTAACCCCAAAAGCATCCACGGCAAAGCCAGGAACAGGGGGCGAACCCGAATCGAACGCATGCCTCGATTCTGACCCACCCCAGGTGGGGTGGGTCAGAAAAATGCCAGCAAACCACTGAGACACCGAGACAGCAACAAAAGCAACATATACCAAACTAGTGCAAGAGCTGTACATCAAAGAGATCAAACAATTCACGGCAGGGAATCATACTATAGGATACTATAGGATACTATAGGCACATAATTATAGGTACATTGTTCCAAAACGACACTCCAGTTGGCGCTAGAATTCCGCTCCCCTCACTTATAAATGTCCTCAAGTCTTCTTGACTACCTCCTGAATCTGTTCACTCTCACTGTCTTCCCCTCAAAATCCGAGCCTCATCTCCTCCTCCGACCCGGCCCCCCAGCCCCCCCCCCGGCCCCCGACCCGCGCACGCGCGGAGCCGCAGCGCCTGGTGGATGCCCTCGTTGAGCCGCATCGCGGTGACCGTGCGCGGCGTCTTAAAGAGTAAGCCTTTGATCATCGCGGCCGGTTCGTGAAGGACGTCTTCAGCGTCACGCGGCGTGCCGGGACGAACGACAGGAGCCTTTGGGCTGCTGTCCGTCGTGCGGCCTGGTCCGTCCCGTGAGGAAGAGGGAAGCGAACGAGAACATATACACCAAACAGTGGGACCTGGTTGGTCGTCTCAAATCTGCAACTAACATCAACTAACAACGCCCTCTGCAAAAAAGCTGCCTCCTCTTCTCCAGAAGAAAGAATCCGGAAAGCGGTCGGAAGACAACACCATGGGTCCAAACAACACCATGGGTCCACCCTGACGTGTTCTATGACACGCCTTCCTTGAAGCGGAAGCACAGAGTTCCCGCAATCTTTCTTGGCGCGAACCACAAAACGTTCAACTCAAAACTTGACATTGAACCACAGGTTTCCAAAACGTCTGGATCGAAGCAATGAACCTCGCACGACCCTGCACCACAATAGTATGAATTTGCTTGAATTTGTATACATGTGATATCATGTGATGCTCCCAAGTTCGTGTTAAAACGGGTACTACGGTAGTACCAGTGAATTAAATACCGCATTTGACTGGAGTTGGCCATGCAAAAACACTCCTCAAGGAGGTCAAGGACCAGGTTTTACATGGTTTTACTATGTTTTACTAGGTCTTTGGACTTGCAGAGTATCTACGGCACATATAAATTCAATATATCGACAGGCTGCATGTGATATCATGTGACCCTAGCAGCCATTGACCTGATAGGACTTGGACCAGGCATGATCTTTGCCATTGACCTGTGGCATGTCCCTGGTGTTCTTTTCTCCGGAGAATCACTCCAAGCATGAATCAGTTCCCAGGTCCTACTCGATGTTTCAACACCGGGGCGAGCCCCCGACGACTCTATGCCTAGAGTCGCCCCATCCCGACCGCGGTCCGCTGTAGCGAGCTCTTCGTCCCCTCGCCCGGTCCGTCCGAGACATCGATCGATGGTTAGGTGTTGTTTCAGGCCCCAAAAGCCACCAGTGTGGGTCCGATCCCATGTCCAGACAGAGCGTCTGGACATATATTTGAGCTGTCTTTTCAGTCTTTTTTTATCTTTTTTTGTAGAATGCGCCCAGGTGGCAATATTCCCGGCGCTTTTGAGACATGGTTTTCGGGGGTGCACAGCACGTGCCATGACATCTTCTCGGCAATTAAGCATGGTGTAATTCTGCCAAGGCAGCTCCACCAGCTCAAACTCTCTAAACCTCCTCGGCCTCGGCCAATCCTCCGTCTTCTTCCTCGTCCCGCACTCTGCCCGAGCAGCTGACGGCGGGCGAGCTCTCACAGATCGCATCATACAAGGCCTCTCCAGCTACTTCCGTGGACTCGTAGCAGTGGATGAAATGCTCCTCAGCACAGCAGTGGCTCGGATCTCGCTTGCGCGGCTCCCGCGCCGCGGAGCGAGCGGTTCCAACGTCCGGACCTTCCGACGGTGCGGAACGCGACGTAGCGGAACGCGATCTGGCGAGCTGCCTGGCCAGTTGGAGGGTGTTTCAGATCGGTCTTGGGAGGTCGCTCTTAGAGGTGTTTGGAGGCTCCATGTCTATTGGATCAAAGCCCTCCATGTCTATTGCAGCACCTCTTCATATCGGGAAGCCTTATCAAGCCAAGAGCCTCCAATTCAGAACCTAGCTCGAGCTCCCAACGCACCACACACCGCTGTTCGCTGCAGCCGAAGGGTCCCAGGCCGATTGAAGGTCTGCAGCGGTCTGTCGTGGCATCTCTAATAAATCGAAGGAGTCCGTGCGGATCTCCTGTGCGACAGACCAACGCAACCGCGCGACATGTTGTTGCACCGGGTAGGCGGGCGGGGCGGCCCAGTGAGGTGCTCTGCAAAAGAACGTGGTAGCCAGGCCAAAAGTCGACAAGGGCGTCAATCGAGTGGTCCAGAGTGGCTCAAAGTGATGCGACACAAAGCAAGTGTCGATCCATACACTTTCGATTTCATGATTGGTTCGTCTCCCAAGTTGTTGAACGTTTTACTCCCAACCCCACACTCCCCTGCACTCGTGCACGACCAATCACGAGAAAGAGAACCCGAAAGCCTCGACCTGGCGAAGCACCAGCAAGTCCCGATCGAGGGTCTCCCATGAAAAAGCAAAAGCCCATGAAAGACCGTGCAACTGACTCGAGGGCACAAACCATATTTGCCAAGCAGTTGAGCGGGGTCAAAGGTTGTTCGGTAGGCATGTATATTCCATACATTTGGGTAAGGGATGTGTCACTTAGATTTTTACAAGTCACGTTTGAACCCTTGGCCCCGGGGGTAGGGCGGACAAGGCTTGCTGTGGTAGTAGAGTGTGAACATCTCATTCTGTGAACGCACCCGGAGTATTTTACATGAAGACATCCGGTCAAAACAACGACCCTCGGACTCTGCCAACTCGCCAAGTCCGTCGCACGCCACGCGGAGCTTCGCACGGGGCGTCCGTCGCCGAACGCTCCTCGTAGTCCGTGGCACCCCGTTGCTCCAGCTCCTGGAGAGGCTGGTCCAGTGGGAGCGGCGTTTTCAGATCGACTGCCATTGGACTGGCCGCCCCAGAGGTCGACCCCTCTGGCACCACCCCTGGCCTGATCGGCAGTCCTATGGCAGTCCCATCAGTCGTGTCTGGGGTATGGTTCAATCATCCCAGAGGGAGGTTTGGGGGAGATGAAGTGGCGACACCTTCCATAAGGAAAAGACATGGTTCACTGAACTTGCCACCCTCCCCCAAAGAGGTTTTGCAGGTGATCCACATGTTTCTGGGATAGGCTCCCAGAGCTGGGATAGGGATACACCCGACCCCTTAGAGACTTCGGTCTGCCAGACAGTGTTGCACTGCCGAAGTGCCGAGTGTTGGTTGGTGCTTTAGTAACTTTAGTCTTCTCTTCCCTATAGGGATGATGTGTTCGACACCGCTATGTAGGCGCCTGGGTCGGGCCCCAGTCGTACCGAACCTGAGAAGGTATGTGGATCCCTAGGGCAAGGGTCAAAGGTGTGTGATACCTGTAGAAGCACTTGGCTGCAACTTCGGCATAGTGATAGTGAGGTGATAAGCTTCTGAAAAGCGAGTGCTCACCATTTAAGGATCCACCAGTGAGATCCAGCGAGCATACACCTAGATCTTCCAACTGTGCAAGCTTTCTGCCTTGTCATACATAAAACTAAAACATCATAAAACCAGCCAAAAGGCAAAAAACAGCATCCTTAGAAGATCTAGGTATGTCCTATCTACCATCTTCACTTGACAGGTTTCACCTTTTTCATCGTCAGTGTAGACCCATTTGACGAGTTCCCATTTGGCTGTTCTTCTACCCCAAACACCACACCCATGACTTGAGACTCCCGCGACCCTCGTCCTCCTTCTTTTCCGGCTCTGCCCTGCATTCGTTGATGCCTCAGCAGGCTCAGCAGACTCGGCAGACACGGCCAAGAACCGAAAAAAGGAGGAAACCACATCCGCCTGGACCGCCTGGAACATCGAACTCCATGGCAGGACACAGAACTTGACGAACTTGAATCATGATGGCAAGACCAAACATCGCCACACCTGGTGCCGGTCACCCCGACAACGGTTCTCTTGCCATGGGTGGTGAATAAGGATAGCTCAAAGTGAAGCAATAGGCTTTTCAACATACCCCCCCTAAAACCGTGAGCCCACATGATCATTCATCACCGGCAAAACTGATGCTTCACAGGACTTTGGACTGGCAAACCGACTTGTCTGTTTAAATCCATCCATCCAACCAGGTGGCATTCTTTCAGCAGTCGGCAGTGAGGCTGCAGCAGGTTCTCATACAAGACCTGAAAACTGCTCGGATCCTGCAAGTTGCTGTCACTCTCCAACCTCAGTCGACGATGTCGTCGCGAAAACGCGTGAGATGGAGAGTCAGGACAAACGAGATGGAGAGTCAAGGATGCGAATCCGCATCCGCATCCAGAATCATGACGAGAATCCATGGGCAAGTATATATATGGTGCTTTTGTATGGATCCCCCCATCTAGAAAGACATGCGGGGTGTGCCGTGCATAGGTCCCAACATCCAGTCGGCCGAGCCATGCTCAGTAAAGGTACACCCCGGGAAGATTGGAAGATGAAAAACACGTGCTTTGCGGTGGAAGCTAATTTTGCAAAGGCCCATTGCCAGGTATATCATCATTCACCTTCTCGTGTGTATCATCATGAACCTCATTGACATGCCGGATGTTACAACATACTGCGTGTATGGTGAGAACATGTTGCTTCCTTTCTACCAACTCTAGTAGTCTTGATTCCCGAAAGGAGAACCCCAACGTGCCGCAAAACAGCTGAGTTCATGAGCAGCCAAGTTCTTCCAGCTGGACCTCTGTTTTTCTTTTCCTCCATGGGCGCTGGTTGCCCCATTGAACCTCCTCACCTTCTCGGCTCATATGACCGGGCTGGCACATCGAAGGAGGGAGAGAAGGATAGGTTTCAATATGATCATCTTGTAGCATGTGGATAGCATGTGGCTCCTGTATATACACAGGGTGTATTTACATAGCATTACTTTTAAATCTCCTCTGTATAATACTATATACAATACTGTATCCATATTGAAGTGACTTGACTAGTTGAACTAACACAACTTGTGATCGCTTGAAGAATCATGGTCATGACCAGACTGAGGTCGAATCAAACAACTATGGTCAATGGTTTCTTGTGCTCACCAGAGTCACAGAGCTCGCTCGGGGTGCCGGTTCCCAACGGAGGAAGGAGGGGAACTGGCGCCCCGACTTCCACACCCGCAAGACATGGGACGAGCCACAAGATACCACCCAGGCCCTCCGACACTCCTCGAATTTGGAAGGTCAAGTGCACTCCCGTGGCGCTGTGCCCCCACCGCCGACCCTCCCGGTCACTTTCCAACCAGGGCACAGCAGGGTGCAAATCGCATTGCCTCGTGGCCGGCCCATGGTCGATCCAGCTGCCACTATGGTTAAGCTGTTGATCTCTATAGTCAAGAGACGTCAAAATACTCAGGTACCTCGACGCCGGCCTCGCAATTCCTGCTCCTATGGCCTATGCTGCTCCATGGCCTACGCTCGCTCCGGGAAGTCCTTTGGGCACTCCAAAAGGCAGACTGCTTCCATAGACCATTTCATCCATCATGGAGGCCCGCTCCGAGTTCACCCAACCATCCCTCTCCGCCCGGAGCGCGGAGCGCGGAGACACCGAGTGGCCCACGTCTTCCGTGATCCACGGAGAGACCAGCCTGGGAGGCCCACCCTCGTCTTCAAAGAGCTTGGTGACGAAGCTGGTCAACTCCTCAAAAGCAAAAGAGGGAGGGATGTGGTTTTGGGAAGGAGTTCAAGGATTTATGATTCAAGGGAAATTAAAGGGAAGGGAACAGGTTGGGAAGGAACTAAACGTATTACAGTACATTCTGCGCAGCAGTGCTGGAACACTGGCTGAAACAGCCTGGAATCGGCAGGATGAGGGATGTTTTGAAGGCCAGTCAAAATATCTTGATGGGCAGAATGCTTTGAAGGAGGCAAGAACCAATAACACACACGGATCTACAGCCTATACAGTGCAACCATAATTAGCTATAACTACTGCTATATATAGATTCGCGACCACACGGCCGTTATATAGAAGTCCCATTCCCTCTCAAGCGTTCTAAACATAAACCGATTATAAATATGGGACACCTGTTTTTTCACATGTTACACATACCCTAGGGTTCCAAGTACCTTCTGAGAAGGTGGGACGACCGGGGCCCGGGTGCCAGGAGGGTCCAGACGCTCTCCGTCCGTGGATCGGTGGACCGAACAGATGTGCGGAGACGTGACCGGGACACGCGACTGGAGGGTGTCTTGGAGTCCACATTTTACATGGTTTTAGACCAAAACCCGACTTCACAGGTCACCAGCACTTTCAAGTCAAAAGCCTCCAAGTACCGGAGACCTGTAAGAATCGGGTGCTGCTACATATTGATACCATCCATACTACCATCCATTTATGTCTGGTGTGTCTTTCGGCTCGCGCCTTATGTCTGGGGAGGTCCATATCTTTTTTTTTTGGGGGGGGAAATCCATTTCATCAAGGGTCCAGAGTCGATCTACATTCACTTTTGGAATCAGCTTTGGATGATCAGCTTTCTGACTGGAAGTCCAAACGTGGCAATCCGCCCGCGTTCGCGGACCGGTGACATCCGGGTCATCCGCCGAGTCTGCCGTCGAGCCGGTGGGGAGCCGGCCGCCCAAGGGCAGTCCTCAATGTAGCCATCTTTCTGGTCAGTATCCAAATAAACCGCAATCTCCTGTGCCGTTTTCGACGTGGAAGAAACGCTTCGCACACACACCGTGTTACGGGGGTGACGATGGTGACGGTCTCGGGAGTGCGGAAGGACCGGACCCCCAAATCACTCAACATGATGAAACAACAACCACTGGTGTCTGATGGGTTTTTGGCAGGTTTTGCAGGGTGCCAGCCATGATCCATGCTGCAGCATGTGTTTCCATGCCACGGTTTCCCTGCCTCGGTTTCTTCCACTTTCCTGGGGAGGCGGAGTGACAATGTCGGTCGGCTGTCGGGGTGATGCGTGCGAGTTTTGGGCGGTATGCAAATGATCGCAGCATGGAAACAGGAACTCATCGCCATGATATATGTGGCTAGAACAAATCTCGAATGCCCGGCAAAAGGATGAAGTATACCAGGGCCCCCTACTGTAAGGGGTGTCCAATAATAGCTTCTTAGAGGTGAATGGGTGTCTATTAACTACTATTAACCACCCTATCCGGGGGCCCTGGTAGTTGTTCTTCCTCTTCAAATAAAACTTCACTAGTTCTCACCGTTTCACATAGTGATCCCCGACTAGTCGGGGCAAGCAGCAAGCCTGATCACACTCTGTTGATCAAACCAGGACACAAAGGGTATGCCAATCGTATACCAATCGTTGCATACTTGGATTTGCTTGAGGAGCCTGGATAAATATCTCCCCAAAGATCCGCAAACGGATTCACCAAAGAGAGAAGATTCAAAATCACCTTACAATCAGGGTCAATCACCGACTTGGAGAAAAACAAACACTTGATCCATCCTTTTTCCTCTGACTCACAAGACTACGAACCAAATCGAACCAATAGCACTTGCGTCACTTGCGTCGTCAACAGCATTTGCGTCGACGTCTAGGGGATTTCGAGGACCTCTCCAAAGCTCGGCCCAAGCTTCTCGTAAAGCAGCTCTGCAAGGGCCTCCAGTGCGGCATCACCCTCCACCGCCTCCAGTGCCATGGCGCCCGTCCGGCTTCGCCGGAGACGACAAAAAAGCGTCGGAACGTGGCGGGCCTGTGACGGCCGGGAGGTGAGGAGACGTTTTGGGGAGGAGATGAAGAATGAGATTGATGTGGATACGTTTTGGGGAGGGGATCTTCCCTACCTCAAACTGATCTAGAAATATCTAGAATGTACATCTTACTTTACCAAAACCCACTCTGGTAGAAACTTGTCCCCTCAGAACTCACAGGGTCAACGTTCGACTTGAAAACAATGGAAAGTCTTGGGGCGACAAGGTCAAGCTGCATGAACCATTGGAACCTGCGGTTGTTCTGCTTTCCATTCTTCACTCCAACGGAGCTTTCCGGACAGTCAGTGCAGGAGTGGACTTTGATGCTTGCCTGATGACACCTGTCCTTCCTTCACACGAGAAGCAAAGCTTGACTGGCAGCGGCAAGCAGCCAAGACGCAGCGAAAGCAAAGCTTGATGAACAAATACACCGAGCCAATCCAACGCAGCAAATGTGTAAAGCCTGCAAATACTTGATGTGAACACGCGATCGTCCACCCACCAACGTGTGCATGACGTTAAACAAAACGGTACTGGCTCTTCTTCAAACCCAAAGAGAAGCTGGATAAATTTACCTAGAAAAGCCCTATGTGCTATGTATTAACAATGTCTTGTGTCTACCAAAACTGCTTCACCAACCGTCCGCACTCCTCAAACACCTTTTTCTTTCCCTTGCCCACCAGCATCGCACACTTCCATCAGCCTGCGTTCAAATGCAGGCCCGCAGGCTTCTAAGGGCCAGGTGTTTTGGATGCTTCAGGAGGTCGTGTTGCTGCAGCTCTCTAAGTGGTTGTGTTGTGCCTTTCCTTGTGTAATTTTGTGGTGCGTGAAATGGCAGCTTTATAATGGGTTACTATGTATATTTGTAGTGGTTCTACGCTGGTTGTGTTGGTGTCTTTTGAAACATTTAAGGCACACCTTGGATGTGAGGTGTGTACCACCCCAAAAAGGGAAACACAAAAACAACATCAAAAAGAACCTTTGGCTGACCAGCTCTTAACATTTTAGGTACATCCAAGCCACCTTCGATCTGATTGCACCAACCGCACCAACTCTGATTGCACCAACCGCTCGAGTGATGAGTCAAACAGAGTACTTAGAGTACTCTATTGGCCATGGAAGTCCAGGAGCTCTGATGGAGCAAACCACCAGTTGCTCAGGCAGGCGTGCGTCGTCGCTCAGGCCAGCGCGCTCCTGCGCCTCAAGGCCAGTGCCTCGGAGGAGTCGAGTCGTAGCGTGGAGAACGCCAGCGCCACGGGCAGCAGCGCCAAGCAGCACGAAGGCCGCCAGTGCCCAAGGCGGAAGCTGAAGCCGTGTCGGCTGCCAGGGACAGGCCTGGAGGAGCTGTTGATTGAGAGTAAGTGGATGGCGCAGATTGGCCAAGTTGGGTGGTTTATATGCACCCCCATATGTGGCATCTCGGGGTGACAGTGCCACTGGAACCACTGCGCTAAGAACAGCGGTTTGAATGTGCTTAGATGGAAATTCGAGGGTAGTTTGAACAAATTACACCACCGTAGACCCCAAACAGTTTGTGGTTTTCAAAACCGGAACACTCTGCAACTAGAGCTTGCGACGTCCAGAGCTGGGAGACAAAGGATTGCAAGGGAGAGGCGGCCACAGCAGTCCAGAGCTGGGAGACGCATGTCGACACAGGGAGACAAATGTAGAGGATTGCAAGCGACATGCAGCCCAGAGCTGTGTGACAAATAACGGATTGCAAGGCAGAGGCGGACACAGCAGTCTAGAGCTGGGAGACAAATGCAAAGGCTTGCGAGGACACATGTAAAGGATTGCAAGGCAGAGGCGGACACAGCAGTCAGAGCTGGGAGACACATGTAAAATTAAGAATTGCAAGGCAGAGGCGGACACAGCAGTCCAGAGCTGGGAGACAAATGTAAACACAGGGAGACAAATGTAAAGGATTGCAAGCGACACGCAGCCCAGAGCTGGGAGACAAATGTAAAGGATTGCAGGGCAGAGCAGCTAGGAAACAAATGTGAAGGGTTGCAAGCGAGAGGGGGAGAGAGGAGGCACATGTAAAGGAAAGAAGGGAGACAAGACGGACACAGTGTCCAACAAGAAGGGAGACAAGACCGGAGACAAAGGAAAACAGAAGAGAGACAAGCCGGACACAAATGACCAACAAGAAGGGAGACAAGAAGGGAGAAAAGAGGAAACAGAAGGGAGACAAGACGGACACAGTGACCAACAACAAGGG